TTCGCCAAAAAAAATCTTTCTTACAATGTAATATTTAAACAGGAAGTTAAATTACAACAAGAAAGGGCAATATAACTTAATCACCATCAGGAGACCCGTTTCTCGAAAGTGCCGGCAATTTTTCAGGCAGGGAGAGCTATTTAATGTATGTCAAGTTTGCATTCAAGGTCAAAGTCAGTTCGATAATATTGAAAATGGTAATTTGAAACAATCAGTTAAAGAAGCAAAATTGACTGGTTTGTGAGGTAGAAGCTGAGCTTCTTACTTTCCAACAGGCTTTGATTTGAAAATTTGCGGCCTTCTGGCCCGAAAAGTTACCGCACCTTTGCAGAAACTGCAGACCCTCGGCCGGAAGCCTTTGTGATTGCGTGTGAGAGTACTATCATAGTTTCATGTAAAAAAAAGGGCCTCGGCACGAAAAATTGTGTTGCTCTTTTATGCCTGTGAACATTATAAAATTGTAAACCGATACAATTTTCTTAGTCACTATTAATATGCTATAAACGGGGATGAGTAGAAGCAATCACATAAACTCGAAAAAAAGAACAAGAACATTAGTAAAGCAACTTTTAAATGATTTATAGTTACAATATTAGCGTAAATTATTTTGCCAAACAATTATTTTCAACGTGAAGGGAAATAAAAAGCGCCAAAGAGGGCAATATATCGCTTCAGCGCTAACAGGAAGTATATCGCATAATACATAGTTTGTTAGCGGCAAAAAGTCGATACTGGATGAAAACTAGACTAACATTGAGGATGTTTCACTAAAATAATCCACCAGATACCTAGTTAAATAAGTATAAAATTCATAAATGAGCAACCCAGACATTTTTACTAAAAATGTCTATTGTACACGATAAAAAATGACTTCTCACAAAACAAAGAAACAGTGCGAGATCGAAAATAAGACCTTACTCGCGCAATTACCATATTATAACTGTAAAGTCCTGACTTCTGCCCACCCACAGTTTAATAGTTTAATTGATGATAATCGACCTTCTAGAAAATTGCTAGATTCTCTCAGTAGTCTCTACGACCTTAGTGTATTCCAGCTAAACTCTCTTGATAAACATATTGATCCTGATATAAATCTCTCCTCAAACAAAATACGCTCAAAATATTATTCCCCACACAGCTTTGCGCAGTTTATTGACAGCAAACAGTTGCAATCAAAAATCTCCTTTTTACATACAAATATACGTAGCTTAAAGAAAAATTTTGAAGAATTTCAACATCATGTTTTAAGTGAAATGAATTTCCGTTTTACTATTATTGGTGTAACAGAAACTCGTATATGCGATCGTGAATGTAGTTTTAATTTTGTACCAGAATTACCAGGATACTGTTTTGAATCGGTCCCAACACCTTTATCTGCCGGTGGTGTTGGCCTGTTCATTGATCAAAATTGTAAATACCGCGTCCTTGAACGAGTCTCCAATTCTTGCTATCAAGCCCTATGGATTGAACTTCATCTGCCTAACAATAAGAAATCTGTATGTGGTGTTACTTATAGGCAACACAATAACGCTAATGAGTTTCTAGAATACTTGACAGATTTTCTTGAACGGCAATGCCGTCAAAAACAAAATATTTTTCTCATGGGAGACTTCAACATAGATCTGTTAAAATATGAAACTTGTAGTTACACACAAACCTTGCTCCAAACAATGCAAAGTTTTTCAATGTTCCCAGTGGTTGATAAGCCGACTAGAGTCTATGGTAATTCAGCAACTTTAATTGACAATATTTTCATAAATAATCCAGAGAATAATATGGTCAGCGGCAATATCGTGTCCGATACAACAGATCACTTCTCTCAGATGTGCATATTAACGTCGCACTGTAAACCATTCTTTCCAAACAACAAAACTAAGGTTCGTGACTACTCTACCTTCAATGCAAAGTCTTTCATTGACGACTTGCAGAATATTAATTGGAATAATATTTGCAAACATATCGATGCTAATCAATCGTTCTCCAGGTTTTACAAATGCGTCAACAAGACAATTAACAAACACGCTCCTTTAAGAAGTATATCCAATCGTAAACAAAAATTCCTTGCTAAACCATGGCTGACTGCGGGTTTAAGAAAATCAATCAGGGTAAAGAATAACCTCTTCTATACCTCAGACCGTGACAAATACAAATTATACAGAAATAAAATCATTTATCTTACGAGATTAAGTAAAGCGAACTACTACCAAAGTTTCTTTGATCTCAACATATGTAATATGCGTCAAACTTGGAAAGGAATTAACGAGCTAATTGGAAACTGTAAAAAGAAAAACAAGCGCAACTCAACTAACTCTATTCGCTCAAACCCGAATGAGGTTCCAACTAGTGACCCGAAGGAAATAAGCAATATTCTTAACAAATATTTCGCCACTGTTGGGAGCAAACTGGCTTCTAAAATTCCTCAGACCATAAATACATTCTATGATTATTTAGATCCGCCACTTAATCGCACTTTCTTCTTTGATCCTATTATTCCGGAAGATATCAATTTAGAAATTTCAGTTTTGCAAGACAACAAGGCCCATGGTCTTTACTCATCTCCAGTTAGGCTGCTGAAATTGGCAAAAAGGGTCATATCCGTACCTCTAGCCACGATTTTTAATCAGTCTATTTGCTCAGGGATTTTTCCATCTAAACTAAAGTGTGCTAAGATTATCCCGATATTTAAGGACGAAGATGACACGCTGCCCGAAAACTACCGACCTATTTCTCTGCTCTCGATTTATAACAGGATTTTTGAAAAACTTATGTACTCCAGAGTTACCAAGTTTGTCAAAGATTGCAACATTCTCTATGATCAGCAATACGGTTTTCGCAGTAAGCACAGTACTCAGCATGCTGTACTTGATATTGTTAACACAATTCTCCAAAACATGGACAACGGTAAATTTTCGTGCGGTGTTTTCATCGATCTCAAAAAGGCTTTTGATACTGTTAACCATGAAATTTTGTTAGCTAAACTTGAAAATTATGGTATTAGAGGTGTAATCAACTCCTGGTTCAGATCATACCTGACTGATCGGAAGCAAACTACGGAAGTTAATAATGTTGTGTCTGAGGCTGAAACGACCTTGTGCGGCGTGCCACAAGGCTCAGTCCTCGGACCACTCTTATTCCTACTGTACATCAATGATATTTACAAGTCCTCTTCGTTATTTGCCTTTTATCTATTTGCTGACGATACTAGTATAATACTTGCAAATAACAACCTAAAGGAACTCGAAACACTTGTTAATCGCGAGCTTGGCAACGTCAACGAATGGCTAAAGGCCAACAAACTGTCCTTGAACATAAAAAAATCAAATTTTGTAATCTTTCGTCCCCGGCAAAAGAATATGCCCTTCATACCTAGGATTAGAATTTTTGACTCCGTGACTAACACCTACGCAAACCTTGAAATGAAAGATTATGTAAAATATCTTGGCTTAATGATTGATTCAAATCTTTCATGGAAATACCACATCGAATCTATCTGTCACAAAATCAGCAAGTCGATAGGAATTATAGCTAAAATTCGACATTATGTCCCGCGTCGTGTTTTACTTTCAGTTTACAACTCATTAATTGTCCCTTACTTGACTTATGGTATTTGTGGTTGGGGAAATTGTGCCTTGACATTTCAAAGAAAGATCGTAACTCTACAAAAACGGGCCTTACGTCTCATTTACTTCAGTAAGTCTAAGGAACACGCCGTACCCTTCTTTCTCAAATCAAATTGCCTTCCCCTGTCTAGCATATTTTTCAGAGATTGTAGCTATTTATTGTATGATATCAACAGACAGATAGCACCAGTTAGTATTCTCAATCAGTTCGTTAAAACAAGTCAGATTCATAACTACAGAACAAGATCTGTCTCTAGCGACTCGTTTTATGTTAAGTTCTCTAGAACCGATAAAATGTATGCCTTTTTCACGAGAATCGGTGCCCAAATTTGGAACTCTATTCCGTATTCGATTAAAATACTTAAACGTTCGTCCTTTCGTAAAAAAATAAAGGAATTATTACTAAATTTTTTGCGGTCAGAAGATGATTATGTCGAAGTCTCCCGTCTTATTAAGTTATTTAATACTTTAGGTTAGCCTCTCTTCGTAATCGTTATGTACATGCCTTGTTTTATGTTAGTTTAAATTCTATTTACTGTATTGTAGTGTCTTCACTGTTATTTAGTCCATCTATATATAAATCTTGTTTTGTAAATTGTGTTCAGCTCCCCCCGCCTCGATTAGTTCATAAGCTATTTGCGGGTGGGAAAGTAATGTAATTAGTTATTTTCCAATTTTCAATAAAATTTGTTGTTGTTTTGTTTGTTTTTATTTAGCGAGGGCTAAATAGGCAAAGTGCACCGCTGATAAACGCATGGCTCTCGACACTAATCAAATACTAAGTCGCAAAAAATGACGTAGCACAATTGGAATTAAAATAAAGGTGACTATGTACAACAAGAAGTATAATAATAATATGAAAAACTAGATCAGTGATTATGATATATATATATATATTTATATATCGGTGCTAAAATTTGAGTCAGGAAGTATTAAAATGACGGCCAAATTGAGAGAGCTCTCAGTTTCCCTATCGCGCTGTTCACAGGAATACGGCTATACAGTCCTGCATTAGTGACCTTCTTCTGATTCCGTTCTCCAGTTTATCTTTTGGATTTTGGAAGCACAGCTTGGATTCAGTTTTCTATCACTTCTAAGATTGAATTTACAGATATACACCTTATTCCAGTGTCAGTTAAATTCGAAATACAACAATGATTAGCTTGACAGTTTGTCAAAAGGATGGACACAGACTCCGTCATGAAACGCGACATAATCTTGTTGTTCCTTCTTTGGCGCTGATTTTACTATTTGTGAGTTCAAGATTAACTTGAATAGCAGACTGCGGCACAAGCAAGGACGCTGCTATCAAAATGTTCTCCATCACTTCCTTCTGTTTATCTGAATTCGACAACAGCAAAACCTAGACAAGCCAGGAGTTTATGCAATGACTTGAATTTCCTCCGAGTCCCAATCAACCACAAATGGCGGAGGCGTCGAGTTTTCTTCAGTACAAAGTTTGCAATTTATAACATGTGAAAGGCACGTGATGCAGTGGTACAGCAGGCGGGCGACTTGAGAAAGTGCACAAAAAGCTACTAGGAGGCACAGTGCCAAAGGAGCCAAGCTGAGAAGACCTATCTCGATCCACTGTAAAGCAGAGAAGAGGTCTTTGCTTGGACCGGTGGCATCTATTCCATGGGAAATAAGCGTAGCTTCGGTTAAACTGAAGATGCAAATAACAACTAGGCTCAACAGAGAAAAGCCTTCACAGATGTTAGCTTTGCGTTCGCGAAAAGGCCTCACTGTGAGGTGATGGACCAGAATAATAACGCATGCGCAACTGAGGCAGACAAAGCGAATAGTGGGGTCAGTAGCGAATGTATGGATGACCAACAGAATCAATCTTCGGCCAGTCAGTACACTTTCCCAGTATAGGGTGCCATGATCCTCGCTGGAGCCTGCGCGGAATGGACCGTGGAGAACCTGCTTTATTTCTTCTGTATCGTCTACGCATCCAACGTTACACAGTTGTTGATCATCCTTTTTTCTATATTCACGAAACAACCAAAATAGAAGGCAAGGCAAAGGGAATGCGCAAGCTATTAAAAATTCCTTGGCTGTTACTTTGTCTTTGCTAAGTCTCAGTGATCCCCAGAGAAGAACCAAAACGAGGGGGATGATGAATGACAGTATGAACGAGGTAAGCAGGAACTGCCACCACTGCCAACATTGAATTGTCCCATCTACAAAAAGACGCCAGTCCTTATCAATAGGAACACAATGCATAAGTTTAAGGGATGTATCAGCAAGTCTTTCATAACCAAGCAACAGTGTTTCTAAAGCAACAGACAGGTATAGTTTCATTGATGGTGGAGCTGTGTAGAGGGTCTTACTGGTGGCTCGATGAAGTACATAAATAAGACCAATGGAAAGCAACGTTGCTAGGAACTTCATGCACTTAAACAGTTCCTTGGTTACGACAGTAAGACCAGGGAATGGACAGCCAATGCTACCGTTCAATGATTTGACCTGGAAATTAAAAATTGCCATGATAGGAGGAATAATGGGTACCAGATGAAACGTTTTCTCTGGAGACTGAATCATTACCAGTTCTGCCACTTGATAAAAATAAAAGATGATTTTTAGATATCCAGAATCGTGTTCTTTATTTTCTTCGCTTGATGTCTGATGTAGATTACTAAAGCCAGGTTTATACTTAAACCAGAGACTGTATTTTAGCAGCTCTGAGAAAATAGGAGGCTTGAAGATAATATAAACAGCAAAGGCTGCCACATAAATCGTAGTCGCCAGCCAAAACCAGCTATCATTACATCTCTCGTTCATTCTGCATGAATTTGAATACAGTGCCTCACTATATCCATCAAAACACTTGCCACAAAGAACACCGTCTCTTCTGCCGTGGCAGCTGTTATGACCATAGTGGGTGGAGTGGCTTGATCTGCTGCAGTATTCAGAAGGACAGTGAAAAAAATGAAAACTTGGAGGAATGGAAGAAAAATCTTCCATGCCCCAGAAGTTCTCTTTGGCTTTGATGGTTCCATTTTCACACGACGCTCCGTATGGACATTTCAGACATTTATCCTCTTTAGTGTCAGTTAAACCAGATATAAATCCTCTCTGTAGACTATAAAATCCAGTAGGACACTCTTCGCAGAATATTTTGACGTAATTGGCTTTCATCCAAGATGTACAAATGTCAATTCGTTTCGACAACTCAAAGCCTTCAGTTTTTTTGTTGATATCCATTTTAAGCCACCTGCCAGACGGACACTTAATTGTAGAAGCAGCATCTACTTGTATTAAACTGCTCTTAGTGACAGCTAAGATCGGGTAGAACTTCTTGTTTATGTTTGCTGTAAATGACGAGTTTTTAATGATGACTGGTCCAGCACTTTCAGAATACAAAAAGCATCCATCATTTGACATTCGCTCTACATTAGTATTTTGACTCAAACGTGACTGAAGAAAATTACTATTGATGATGTTGAGAGTACCATAACCGATCTTCATTTTAATATGCCCTCCTAGATTTGATCCTTCGTTGTCTTTAAAAGTGCAATTTTTAATAGTGACGTTTCCATTGAAAATATTCAATGCTCCTGAGATTGCGACGTTATTTTTAAACATACAATTCTCAAATACCACCGGAAACTGCGTTTTGTTATGCCAGAAAAATTTGCTGTTGTGGTTTCTGTTGAGGCATTTCGGAGGGTCTTCCTTCTCAAGAGCAATCCTTATAGTTGGACGGTCATCCAGGCGATAAACAAACTCAGAATTGTTTAGAAACCTACAGTTCGTAACGTTTATTAGGCCCGTTACATTCCTTTGAATTTTTATGTAGACTACACGGTGAAGGAATTCTTGAAAGGTGACGTTTTCAAGAATTACTATGGCTTTAATAAAATTCGGTCTGTGTAAAGTGCGATACGCCTTCACTATCAACCTGATTGCGTCACCGAGCCGGTGAGTCTCGTTCCTTCCGACGAATAGACTATTCTTTACAACTAATATTTGGCTGCTTGGCTGGCACACGTTGCCGTTCACGTTGACGCAGCGGGTAGTAACCATGTTTATTCCTTTTCTGTTATTTGATAGAATGCAATGGTCCAAGAAAAGCCATACATCAGGAGCCCTGGCATTTATTTTGGGAGGTCCACCGCCCAATAAAACATAACCAAACGTAGAATTAATTGTCACATGACGAAGATGTACGTAAAAACCGCCTTTCACTAATATAGCATTCTCATTGCATAGGAAGGTACTGTTAAATACTAATAAACGTCCAGTGACAAAGTAGCCAAAAGACCGATATGACAAAGCAAGGCCATTGTTCTCGTGACCAAGGTCTTGAAAGACAGAATCGACAATTGAGCTATCTGTGTATACCATGTTTGGATATCCTAAGACCTTAATGTACACGGCAGCCTCTGTTTCTTTAACTCCTGACATTTTATCATATTGACCCTTCGTGCCCTGAAAGACACACCTCGAGATTCTAATGGTAACCAACCCTTTAAACAAGATGGCAGAGACGGACAATTTATTGTAAAAGAATTCGGTGTCAGTGACGATGATGGAAGACGTCGTGATGACCCTCGAATCCTTCTGTAATATACGAACTGCGTTTGAGCTGTTAATAAACTTGCAGCTAGATATAAATACTCTGAAACAGCTCACATTGAGTAGATCGAATCCAAATTTGAGAAATACAAGGTTCGAGAGAGTTAATTTAAAGAGGCGATTGTCAGGATACTTAAAAACTAGATTGCCATAACGTGGTTCACAGGTGATATGCGCTTTTGTGAACAAACCATGTATTTCCACACTTTTGTCTAGCTGCTTCAATGGTTTGTCCTTAACAGGGCCCATTTTTTCACAGGTGTAAGGATGTATTTCACTATTCGTTCCATTGAGACAGATCTTTCCTCCATCTTTCACCAACAGCAGTGCTTGTGGCAACGTTTGGCACGGCTCGGTCCGAGAACCGCATTGAGGTGTGTCTTGGCCACTTTGACGCGAAACATAAAGACAGTCAATTGGTGTTGCATCACCGCCTATGGAATGCAAGTGAAGATATCAGTGAACAAGTTGTGGTTTAAATTGGCATGTATGCGCAAGAAATGAAATCATTTATCACAGACAAAGGCCTACTGCAGATGAAAAAATCAGCTTCAGGGTCAAGATAAGTAAAACCGTCTAATTTCCCGATGGCAGACAAAAAAGCTATGGTATTGCTGAGGTTTTCCGGCTTATCAGGTTGATTTATTTTCCTCCCTAAGTTAAAGAATTAAGATGCCAGTTTATCTACCGGCTCATTTATCAGACTAATACTGGGGTACGGCTTCCTATTCTGTGTTGTTACTCTACCACTGGTGTCGTGAGAAGATGCCCCGTTATTTTTGCTCATTTTCGTCCTTTCCTTCTGTCAAAGTTTTGAGAGTGCAAACTCCAGAAACTAACAAAATACGCGGCAGAAAAAAACGAAGGCAAGACCGATTAGACAAATCGCGGAGAAAGTTGCGGTTTGTTGGAGACCGGCAGTCTTTTTATGCCTGTTACTGCACCAGATACACAGATGGCATAAGCTAATATAATGATAATCCACGATAGCAACGCTAATCGAGACTAAAGCAGGATAATAAATTACATTGGTATGCCATTTTTAAAATTCAAAACAATCTCGCAGTAACTGTAATGTAACAGTCCAATTATTGGATTACATTGTTGTGTAAAGGGTGTGCAGCTTCTAACTGGTTGAAATGTCGTGAACTATCAATCAGGTCTGGGTTGTTTTCCCAAGGGGGTGGGGGGGGGGTACTTGGGTAAATTTCTGCTGGGTATGTGCCCCTGGCCTCTCAGAACACTCACCCCATTATTGTCCCTTCTGTGGCCAATTATGGACCCCATCTTAGTCACTTCGGGCAAATATGTAGTTTTCGCGATCCCAACTGGGTACGTTTGCTAAACGTAAATTTGAAGAACTGTCTTACCCCCAAAAATCCGAAAATGTGCGACCCCATTCTAGCAACTCTATTGAAAATGCGACCCCATGATAATCAATCCAGTCGTGAAAATGCGACCCCATCCAGCGGCACATCCCCATTAGCCTCTTATAAGGGAGTAGCCTCCCCCGCCCCCCTCCCGGGTTGTTTTCCCGTTTGGCCAAGCACTGAAACTGTCTATTCCAACAGATTTCTCCGGCTATTTAATTCATGATACCTGAATGCAATAGATGACACTTGAAATTTAACCCCTTCTTTGATTTACTGTAAACTGTCCAATGGCATGCAAACATTGAACAATAAAATGCCAAACGGGTGTCTTCTTGGGACCCAGAGTTATCACCTTCGCAAGCGTATGGATTTAATCGCAACTATTGTTGGTTTTAATCTCGCGTACACGCAAAGGTCTATTCGATGTAGCTACTTTAAGGACTCTTTATTACTCATTAGTGAGATCCCAGCTGGAGGACAGCTCGATTGTTTGGTGACCTCACACCAAGAGAAACATTGATTAATTGAACGTGTGCAGAGGAGAGCCAACAGTTAGTTTTAAAATCTGAGTAATTACGAATCTCGTTTGAAGTGGCTTAATCTTGTGTCTCTTGAGCGAAGACGCTTTATAGCTGATGTCACTGTTTTGTATAAAGTTTCAAATGGTTATATTAATGTAGATTTTAGTAGTTTTCTAAATTTTTATCGTCCAGACGATCGTTATACCTTTCGGAGTTTTGACTGCTTGAAACTAAAGAAAAAATTGGCTAGGACTACCAGTTTTAAAAACTGATACTTTAACAGAATTGGGGATAGCTTTAACTGTCTACCGCATGAAGTTCGCTTTAGTCAAGATTTACTCTCATTTAGGCGCGGAGTTGCAGGTTTTTTGGGCCGGCCTGGTGATCTTTAGTCTGTCAGAGGAACTGCCGGGTCTAGTTGACTGGCCACTTTACCCTTGATTGTTTTCCAATTTTAATTGTACTTAGGGCATAATATCAATATTAATTTAGTACTTTCATGTAAATAGTATCTACGGTGTAGCGCCTTGTATGACGTCTCTGGCTCTTTTGCGCAACTGCAATGGCTCTATTTAGTTTTTTTGATACAATATTATTGTTATTATTATTATTGTTATTGGTAGTAGTAGTAGTAGACAAGTAGTAGTATTAGTACTGTTAGTTGCCATGAATTGTAATAAATAACTAGTTTTGTTAGACTAGTATAAGAACTATAGCGAAAAAAGTAATTATTGTCTCTAATTTGTGTTTGACAAACTTTTAAAGTGATACAACAAGTCATACGAATTAAACTGTTTTATGATATTCCAACATAATGGATTACATAGATCAACAATCTAGTTTAATTAAAAAGGGATAAAAACGAAACCGGCTCTGACTTACTTTTTATGCGGGCGATAACCAAAAATAAAGGAATCACCAGCCACCAGTTGGCCACGAGAGAATTCATGTGGACGAAAATTAGAAGATTGAGTCCCGTAATGCTGGAAAACTTCTAGCAACTCTTTTTCTCGAGCAAGCGATGCTTCAAGATGTATTCTTATAAATATCAGAATATTTGGCCATAACACTATGAACACGTCATCGTGTTTATTTCTGGAAGTAAATGTACATCGTTTCTAGTGCTTAAAGTGGTTTGACCAAGACTTTAATGCTGAAGCCATCCTGTTTACGTACATGTGCGTAAGAGAGCATTTGGATTATCATATGGAAACGACTAAAGTTTGGGCATGATACCAACAAGGTCATGTACGAAATGGAGTACAGGTATATGAAATGCCACAAAATATTTTTGGGAAACATTTACGTAGCCAGAGGAAATTAATAAAGCGAACTATAAATGCACTGTCAAATATCAGCTCAATCTGAAATAATTTTAATTGATTAGTTCTTCCGTGCATATGCAGCTTATTGAATACTTACTGGTACAATATCTAAATATCAAACTGAGTGGGTGGCTGAGTGGCTGATGCGGGAGAGTATTTTGTGATTCTCTCGTAAGAAACCCCTCTTTTAAACAAGTTCTGTCGTTTTTGAACAAGGCATCGTCTTGGTAAACTGGTTTAAGTTAACCATAAACGAATATTCTTATAATAAAATGGTCTCATTAACATTTTCTGATTCACTCTCTATTGAGACAAACAGAAAACATTCCATGAACACGTGACATTCTGATACAATTCCGGGCACAAACATCATGAGATATGAGTCTGTGGTAGAAATGTTGCAATAGTGGAGTACAAGAAACAATAATTTTATCTTTATTTTCACATAGTATATCTACTATTCCCTGCCTCCGTTCGTTTACTTTTAAGCGTGGTGGTGCACAGTGATACGAGATGAGCCTGGCCAGCTAGTAAACAAGAGACACCGGCAAGAAAGGCTTAGGATTGAGCAAAAATTTCCAGTATCTTTAATAAAAACAGTTGAAATGCGTTTTAATACTACCCATGTGAGGGGTACAATGGCCAGTTGCACTGATAAAGGCAATGGCCCCCGACACTAATCTATATGACAATGAAATGAATAACATCGCGAGAAAAAAATTACGTAGCACGATTGGAATTGAAATAATTAACAATTATTCCTCGAGCCCGAATGGGCTCTGAGTCAATAGCCCATTTGGGCTCGAGGAATAACTGTTTTAGTAAAGTCCAAGTAGTTGGTCAAAAATATCGAGACAAAAGAACTTTAGCTAGCAAAACGCGATTCAGCCGCCATGGTTTTGGTTTTCAAAGCTGGCGCTTTTCGCTACTGGTGGGCTATAACATATAGCCTAGTAGCAGCTCAACCAATCAGAACGCAGTATTGATAATAGACCACTAGTGCATTTTGCTAAAAATAAATATGTGTGACAACAAGAATATGATAAACTAGATTTATTAAGATTGATGTGTCGTTGGAAAAACTTGTGGAAGGCAGTCTTTACTGAAAATGACGAAATTAAACGAGTTCTTTTTCCTCATGTCTACAGGAGTAATATTCCACAATCTTACATTAGTGACCTTTTTCTTTCTTCAGGTTTTCTTTTGAATTCGAATTTTATATGCAAACCTTGAAGTTAATTAGTTTTGTATCACTTCTAAGACTGAAGGATATTCACCTTAAGCCAGTGTTAAGTGTTCTATATTTCGATACCGATCTATATCCAACAATAGTTGACAATCTGTTGATAGGTTGGACAACAACTCCGCAGTGAAAGGCGACATCATCGTCGCATTCCTTCGTTGGTGCTGATTTTAAAATTTCTGCTCAATAAAAAGTTGAATAGCAGATTTGGGCACATCAGTCCAAGAACGCTGCTATCAAAATGTTGTCCTTCTCCTTTTCTTTACTCTGTTAATCTGGATTCGACAAAAGCAAAACCTGAACAAGCCATGAGTTTATGCAATAACTTGAATTTCCTCCGAGTCCCAATCAACCACAAATGGCCGATGGGTCGACGACTGTTGAGTACAAAGTTTGTTTTTTTTAACATGTGAAAGGCACGTGATGAAGTGGTACAACAGGCGGGCGACTTGAGAAAGTGCACAGAAAGCTACAAGGAGGCACAGCGCGAAAGGTGCCAAGCTGAGAAGACCTATCTCGATCCACTGTACAGCATGGAAGAGGTCTTTGCTTTTTCCTGTGGGATCTATTCCGTGAGAAATGAGCGTAGCTTCGGTTAAACTGAGCATGCAAATAACAACTAGGCTCAACAGAGAAAAGGCTTCACAAATGTTAGCTTTCCGTTCGTAAAAAGGCCTTACTGTGAGGTGATTGACCAGAATAATAACACATGCGCAACTGAGGCAGACAAAGCGAATAGTGGGGTCAGTAGCGAATGTATGGATGACCAACAGAATCAATCTTCTGCCAGTCAGTACACTTTCCCAGTATAGGGTGCCATGATCCTCGCTGGAGCCTGCGCGAAATGGACCGTGGAGAACCTGCTTTATTTCTTCCGCATTGTGCACTTTTTCAGCGTTAAGCGTTTGTTGATCATCTTTTTTTCTATATTCACGAAACATCCAAAAGAGAAGGCAAGGCAAAGGGAATGCGCAAGCTATTAAAAATTCCTTGGCGGTTACTTTGTCTTTGTTAAGTCTCAGTGATCCCCAGAAGAGAACCAGAACGAGGGGGATGATGAACGACATTATGAACGCGGTAAGCAGGAACTGCCACCACTGCCAACATTAAATGGTTCCATCAACGAAAAGACGCCAATCCTTATCAACAGGAACACAGTGCATAAGTTTAAGGGATGTATCAGCAAGTCTTTCATAACCAAGCAACAGTGTTTCCAAAGCAACAGCCAGATATAATTTTATTGATGGTGGAGCTGTGTGCAGGGACCTACTAGTGGCCCTATGAAGTACATAAATAAGACCAATGGAAAGCAACGTTCCTAGGAACTTCATACACTTAAACAGTTCCTTGGTCACGACAGTGAGACCAGGGAATGGACAGCCAATGCTACCGTCCAGTGATTTGACCTGGAAATTAAAAATTGCAATGATGGGAGGGATGATTGGAACCAAATGAAACGTGTTCTCTGGAGACTTAATCATTACCAGTTCTGCCACTTGATAAAAATAAAAGATGATTTTTAGATATCCAAAATCGTGTTTTTTATCCTCTTTCAATGACGTCTGCCTGAAGTCACTTTCAGCAGGTTTATTCTTAAACCAAAGACTCTGCTTTAGTAACCCTGAGAAAATGGGAGGCTTGAAGACAATGTAAACAGCAAAAACAACCACGTAAATCCCAGACGCCAGCCAAAACCAGTTATTATTACATTTATCGTTCTTTCTACACGAAGTTGAATAGAGTGCCTCACTGTACCCATCAAAACACTTGCCACAAAGTACACCGTCCCTTCTTCCATGGCAGCTGTTGTGACTATAGTGGGTGGAATTGCTTGGTCTGTTGCAGTATTCAGATGGACAGTGAAAAAATTTTAGACTTGGAGGACTCGACGAGGTGTCTTCCAAGCCCCAGAAGTTCTCTTTGGCTTTAATGGTTCCATTTGCACAATATCCTCCGTATGGACATTTAAGACATTTAGTTTCGTTTTTGTTATTCAATGAACCAGTTGTAAGTCCTCTTTGTAGAGTATAAAATCCAGGAGGGCACTCTTCGCAGAATATTTTAACGTGATTGATTTTCATCCAACATTCCTCGCTTCCTCTCGAAAACCCGTTTTCTTTGTTGCTAACCATTTTGAGCCACCTGCCAGACGGGCACCGATGGTAGAACTTAAATCTACTCGCAGTAAACTGCTCCTTGTAACAGCTAAGATTGGGTAGAACTTCTTGCTGATGTTTGCTGTAAATGACGAGTTTCTGATAATGACCTGTCCAACGCTCTCAGAATACAAAAAGCATCCATAATTTGAAATTCGCCATGGCTCTACATTTGAATGTGGTTTTAAACGTGACTGAAGAAAGTTGCTGTTGATGATATTAAGACTACCGTAACCTATTTTCATATAAATATGTCCTCCCAGAGTTGATCCTACGTTGTCTTTGAAAGTGCAGTTTTTGAAGGTGCCGTTTACATTGAACAAACTCAATGCTCCTGTGATAGCAACGTTATTTTCGAATATGCTGTTTTCAAATATCACCGGAAACTGAGTTTTGTTATGCCACAAACATTTACTGTTGTGAGGTCTATTGGGCCATTCTGGAGGGTCCTCCTCTTTAAATCTGATATTTACTGTGGGTTTCTCATCCAGGTGATAAACAAAGTCAGAATTGTTTAGAAACTTGCAGTTTGTAACGTTAATGAGGCCCGTTACATTCGTTTGCATTTCTACATAGAGAACGCTATCATGGAATTCTTGAAAGGTGACGTTTTCGAGAGTAACTTTGCATTTGAGATCATTTCGTCTGCGTACAGAGAAAATTGCAACCACTAATAGCCTAATTGCATCACCGAATTTTCGAGTCTCGCTTCCTCCGATGAAAAGACTGTCTTTAACATATAATATTTTGCTGCTAGGTGGGCATAACCTTTTATCAGGAGGGCAAAACGAAGTTGTCATTCTTATTCCAATTCTGTTATTTGATAGAGTGCAGTGGTCCAGCAATAGCTTTAAATCAGGAACCGTGTTGTTTATTTTAATAGGCCCAGCTCCAAATAAAGCATAACCATACGTAGAATTAAGTGTCACATGGCGTAGCTGTACGTGAAATCCGCCTACCACAAACATGGAATTCTCATTGCGAAGAAAGGTGCTGTTCAATATTGACAAGTTTCCACTGTCATAGATGCCATAAGACCGAAATAATAATGCAAAGCTATTGTCCTCATGACCAAGGTCTTGAAAAAGACAGTCAGTAATTACGCCGACTGTTTTTACCATGTTTGCCGGATATCCCGCGTATCTAATGCTGACGGCTGCCAATGGGTTTTTCTCACCAGAAACTCCATTAAAACGTCCTTTCGTGCCCTGAAAGACACACCTCGAGATCCTTAAGGTGAACCACCCATTAAACAAGATGGCGTAGACGGACCTATTATTGTGCAAGAATTCGCTGTCGGTAACGACGATGGAAGATTTTGTAAAGATTCTCGATTTTTTTTGTAATACACCAAATGCGATAGAGCTTTTAATAAACTTGCAGCTTGATATCGATACACTGAAACGGGTCACATTGACTAGATCGACTCCATAGCTGTGGAATACAAGGTTGGAGAGAGTTAATTTAAAGAGGCGATTCTCAGGATATGTAAATTTAAGATTGCCATAGCGTGGATCACATGTAATGTGTGCCTTTGTGAACAAACCGTATATTGCGACACTTTTGCCAAGCTTTTTCCAAACATTCTTTGTGAAAAAACAACTGTAAGGATGTCTTTCACTGTTCCTTCCATCCAGGCAGATCTTTCCTCCATCCCTCACCAACAGCAGTGCTTGTGGCAAAGTTTGGCATGGCTCTGTCCGAGAACCGCATTGAGGTGTGTCTTGGCCAATTTGATGCGAAACATAAAGACAATCAATTGGCGTTGCATCACCGCCTATGGAACACAAGTAAAGATATTAGTGAACAAATTGTGCCTGGCTATAAGCTTCAGGCACCGAAAATGAAAACAGTTGTCAAAGGCTTACCACACTGTGAAAGATCTGCTGCCGGATGATCATTAGCTGCCTTTTGGGGACTCAGCAATTATCTTTGCTTATCAGTTAATAATTGGTAACGCGACGAGTTGTAGTGGACTAGTGTAACTAAAACTATAACGTAGGTACGGTAAGTATTTTCATTAATTTATGACTAACTCCTCAAGTGATTCACCAAGTCGTAAAAGTTTAATGTTTTATGATATTCTAAATCAATGGATGAAATAGATTAACAATCTACTTAAAAGAGGATGGAAATGAAACCTCTCACTTACTGATTTTGTTTATAGCGAGTACCAACAGTAAAGAGAGTAGTTGAAGGAACAACCAGTAGTAGCGCAGGCGAGAATTCATGTCGACGAACACAAAATTACTACAATGCGCAATGCTGGGCTAGAAAATTTGTATTAACCCTTATTTCAGAGCAAGGGACGCTTAAAGTATTTAATATTTGGCCACAGCACTAAGCATTACGTCATTGTTGTTATTTCTGGAACAACTGTATATCGCTTCCAGTGTTAAAAGTTCTTTGACCGAGATTTTGAATCGCACATATAGTTTAGAGAGCAAAACATTCTTCACATGGAAACAGTTCTGTCACTAGTTTTCCAACTTCATAACGAACTAAAAGAAGGAGTGCAGAATTATGAAATAACAATGTGATTTTGTAGGAGTGACGTGTCCAGAGATCATTCATTAATAAAAACAGTGTTTGCACGGTTAAATATTAGCTCATTTCAAAATGATTAAAATAATTGCTATATTAGTCCCATACCCTATATTTTTCCGTGCACGCGTTTGCATAGGACCAACATATACAATACCTAGACATCACATATAGCCAAACTAGATTGCTTTTGATGGCAGGATATTGTCCTTAATAAAGCGGCTGTTTGATGCGGAGGATAAGCTGGGCCCTGTGCTTCTCTCATAGGGGTGCTACCTATAATGACATGTACGCGGAAGTTCCGCCCGAAAGGGGTACCTTTTTTCAGAAGCCAGCTATATGAAAGGGTAGGGGTTCCTCAATTTGAAGAATTTGAAAGGATGGTTTAAGTTAACCCTTATTTAATGTTCTTATTACATAACAGTCTCTGTAACGTTTTCTAATTCACTCGTCAACATTCCAAGAACACGTGACAGTCTGATGCAAGGCTGGGTACAAACACGGGGCATGCTTCTCGCCCCCACTCCTCCCCCCCTAAAAAAAAAAGTATTGTCTTGGTCATAAACTCGTACGAAGTAAGGTCCATGTTGTTTTTGTTTTGTGTGAGCTCGGCTTAAAAACTGAATACTAAAAATACGATATCAGTTGTGGTCAATAACAAGCTCGCATAAATCAATAATCTTGAATTTTAACCTTAGTTTTGCCGCTTAAAACTAAGACTGATCGTGTTACATAATGAAATAATCATGATGACTGGGTGACCTGTTATCACAATACAGTGTCTGTATTGAACAAGGACATTGTGCAAAATTTGATGTCGGGGTTACCATGGCAACAAGTCAAACATTGCAAAACAGACTATTCAGTGAGCTCCAGAATTGTATTGGCTTTTATATAATATTCTTCCTAATTTTTACATGTTCAACTCTAAAAGGTTAATAATTTAATTTTTCGAATGGAAATGCGATAAGCTGTTAATTTTAGTGAATACCAGGAACGGTTCTTAAAGCTGTGTGCAGTCCGCCAGTCAGGTAGACATGAAATGTACCGCCTCTGTTATGATAGCCATCCCAGGGTCTCCCCTTCATCTTGAAAAACACGTATGTTTTTAATCTGTCTTGATATTACCTAGTAGTAGAAGTAACATGAGACTAACAAACAACCACGTCAATTAATTATGAAGTATTTATAACTGAAAGATCATTTCATTTGCTGGAGTTGAGGGCAAACCGGTTCCCTTTGGATCTCGGAGTTATAAATAGTTTATTGTTCTTGTACCAGTTGTTTTTTGTTACAAGCAAGCAGTTAACGTGCGAACTCAACGGAGCAGTTGAGTTAAAACGAATAACACTTCTTTAGAAGGTGTAGCTGACAAATGATATTCCTTACCCGATTACATTTCTTACTTTCAACGCAAAACATGGCTGGTTCCTTTCTCTTAAATGCTTTACAGCTCCCTACGGTAAAAGTAATCAGATTACGTAACTAACCAAATTGAATATCCCTAATCTAGTCGATAAAACTAATCTACCGTTTACATACAGAAATGAACCACATAAATCTTACATTTTGGCGTTTTTCTACGTTTTAAAAAAATCGTGAAATTCAAAGCTTTCATAAATGTAATTCGCGAGAACTTCCGATTATCTTATTACACCCATTTTGAAATCACTTTTTATCTTTGCAGTATAACTAGCTCTCAGTAGTATGATTTATTCACGAATTTTCCTTTTTTTGTTCTAAATGGCAACATTTCTGTTCAAAATCGCATCATGTTGCTCTTATATCGCATCGAATTATTTTTGTTTTGCATAGGATACTTGACGATTATTCCTCGAGCCCGAATGGGCTCTAAGTCAATAGCCCATGAGGCCGAAGGCTGATTTACGTTTTTCTGAGGTCAAAATCTAACCAACATAAAGTTACATAGCCGCTTGATGCACATAATTAGACGCTGACATCAAAATGGACTCCAACTCTCCTTTCTGCCAGGTAGGATGCAACTACATGTAGCATAAACTGTAAAACTGATGAGTTTATGCAATGACTTGAAAGTCACAACAAATAGCCAACAAGTTGACGACTCTTCAGACTTTTCCGTACAACATTTCCAGTTAATAACCTGTGACAGGCACGTGATGAAGTGTATTTGTATTTTGTATTTTATTTTTACTCCATCCTATCGATAATACTTTAATTAGTTGTTCAATATTAATTAGTACAAGGTTGTTTAAACTACGTGTACATAAGAAAAAAAAGAAAAAAATAGAATGGAGAAGGGCACATTATAGTAAAACTAATTATGGCCCTTTTTAAAACAAGATTGACTTTATTCTATTATAGCTTTGTTGTTCATTAAAACACAAACACGCACGCACGTACGCACAAATACACACACAAGTCAATATTGAGCAAGATAATATTTTTTAAGTGCCTTTGGAACAGGATTTTCGATGATTTATTGCGAATAGAAAGGGGGAGATCGTTCTTTTCTTTAACAGATTCAAATAAAAGACACCAACATGAACTCTTACACGGAAGAATAAATTATTTAAAGCCAGCTTCAGAAGACGCGGCCATCATCATCTCTGACCGCTGACCGCTGACCGCTCTCATCTTTCGTGGTGAAGTGGTACAACAGGCGGGCGACTTGAGAAAGTGAAATTATTCATGATAACGATACAATGTTTACAGTGGATGAATGATACAGGAGAGTAGTTTGTAGCTTGTGTTTGTTTTCTGTACTCCTTACTCTAGAACTGATATTATACTTAGGAGACTTCAATATATATATTTGCAGAAAATGTAAATAACGAGCCGACAAATCACTTAAAAATGATATTTGTATTTTGTGGTGAGTGCTTCGCGACTTCTGATCACAATACAGTGTCTGTATTGAACAAGAGCAATTTGCAAGATATTATTACGGGGTTACCCTGGCAACAGCTAGCCTGTGGTACAATTTAAGGTTAGTTAGCAGCGTTTGGTGCATGAGTGGAATATGAGTCTTTGGTTAAATACATTCCTTGACACGGCCAATAACCCGCTTCAGCGTTAACAGGAAGTATTTATCACAACAGAAAGTTGGTTGGCGAAAAGGCCGAAATGAATGTAAACTACGTTTGAAGATGTTTAGGAATGTTACACTAGGATAATTTCCCAAATATTTAATCAAATAAGTAAGAAATACAGTAAGAGTACACTGGAAATTGAAGAATGATTCTCAGTGAAACCAATTAGCAATGGTGGCGCACAAGCAGCGTTAATTTAGCTAGCTTTATTTTCACATAATAGCTTATATCACAATGCCCGATCCAGACCTTGAGATAAGGGGCGGGGGGTCATTCACACCCTTAGACAAGGGGGGGGGGGGCGGTCTCCCAAAAAACTTTTTTGGCCCTCCTTCGGGCCTCATTTTGGTCTAAGAATAAGGGGGGGGGGCTCCCCCCGGTGCCTCCCATGGAGCCGCCACTATATCATGATATTCGGTTCACTGTTGTTGGTATTGATCGCAGTTTGGTGGTGCATGGGGTAGGCCAAGTCAGCATGCAAACACGCGGCACTAGCAAGGCCCGGAAAGCTTAGGACTTAGCTAAAGGTTAAAGTACTGATTCATAGGAACAGCTGCAGAATGTTTAAGCACGACCCATGAAAGGTTTATTTTGCAAGTATGGAGCAGCCCAGATGAACTTTTTACAAAAATGATAATATAACGCTGTGGCTTTCTTCTTTATTCAACGAGGCTTACATTTGGTCAATTCTCATGGCCCTCGACATTAAACTACAACTAAAAAATTTAAAAAATCACTAAACCACAGACTTAGAATAAAGTATACTTCGTGCAATAGGAATTAAAATTACACTGCGTGAAAAACTAAATTAATTAATATTTACCAGAAATACAGCAGTTTATCAACTGAAGGGTTGGCTAGGCATTTTAATACCATATAGTTTTGCCTAACTACACGATGGTGTAGCACTCTTCAGATAAAATGGCCTGTCATCTGAAGAGTGCCTAGTCAAACCTTCAGTTGATAAAACATTGTACTTCTGGTATTCTCGCTCTAGTCCCTCTATTGAACACTCTGACAGCAGTTCTGCATCAGCTGAAATCAAATATTAATTAATATTCATATATTTGTGCAAAATACGTTTGTAGAAAAGAGTCTTAAAATGTATTGAATGAGTTCTTTTTACCCATTCTACAGGAACACTTGTCCACAATCTTCAAAGGCAGTTGTCACCTCAAAGATTCTTCCACTGTCAGTCTCTCTTCGGAATTTAGGACACTGACGCCTTGAACTCTCACGGCTAAGACTTAAAAAATATGTACCTGAACTATTTGAAAAATCCTCCTTCATTTATATACAGGGAAAAATGACTAGCCTGATAATTTGTAAATAGGTTGGCGAAGGTTACCTTAAAAATTGCCTTAAAATTTGTGAAACAAAAAGCTTTCTTGCTCCCGACACATGCAGCTAATTCCTTCAGAATTGCTGTTTTTTCCCAGTCGCTGTAGAACATGATTAGTTAGTCAACTGATACGCACTACTTAAATCATGTCACTCAGCTTATTTACTTTGACTGTTATTATGTAAATAACTCTTTTGCACTTTGTACTATTTGTTCTCTTTTCGAGTGTGATGTGATAAATTCTTGAAAAAAAAATAGGTTGGCGAAGAACTCTGTGAATGAAATTTAATTGAATTGTCCCTTTTTTGTGCTGAGTTACGTTTTCTAAAGTAAAGATCTAATCAACATAAGGTTAAATAGCAGGATAGTGCACGTAGCTGGACGCTGCCATCAAAATGGACTCCATCTCTCCTTTCAGTTAGTTACTTAGGATGCGCGGAACTGTAGCAAAAAATGTAAAACTGTAGCATTTGAGTCTACGCCATGACTAGAAAGTCTTCCGAGTCCCAATCCACCACAAGTGGCCGAGGTGTCAACGACTCTTCAATACAACATTTCCAGTTAATGACACGTGAAAGGTACGTGATGCAATGGTACAACAGGCGGGCGACTTGAGAAAGTGCACAAAAAGCTACAAGGAGGCACAGCGCCAATGGGGCCAAGCTGAGGAGGCCAATCTCAATCCATTGTAAAGCATAGAAGAGGTCTTTGCTTGGGCCGGAGGGATCTACTCCCTGGGAAATAAAAGCAGCTTCTGCCAAACTGAACATGCAAATAACAACTAGGCTCAACAGAGTAAAGCCTTCACAGATGTTAGCTTTGCGTTCACGAAAAGGCCTCATTGTGAGGTGATGGACCAGAATAATAACACATGCGCAGCTAAGGCAGACAAAGCGAATAGTGGGATCAGTAGCAAACGTATGGATCACCAACAAGATCAATCTTCGTCCAGTCAGTACACTTTCCCAGTACAGGGTGCCATGATCTTGGCTGGAGCCTGCGCGAAATGGGCCGTGGAGAACCAGCTTTATTTCTTCCGCATTGTGCACTTTTTCAGCGTCAAGCATTTGTTGATCATCTTTTTTTCTATATTCACGAAAAAACCAAATGAGAAGACAAGGCAAAGGGAATGCGCAAGCTATTAAAAATTCCTTGGCTGTCACTTTGTCTTTACTTAGTTTCAGTGATCCCCAGAAGAGAACCAGGACGAGGGGGATGATGAAAGACATTATGAACGCAATCAGCAGGAACTGCCACCACTGCCAACACGCAATATGAGCATCAACGAAAAGACGCCAATCTTTTTCAACAGGAACACAGTGCATAAGGTTAAGGGATGTATCAGCAAGTCTTTCATAACCAAGCAACAGTGTTTCTAAAGCAACAGCCAGGTATAGTTTCATTGATGGTGGAGCTGTGTGCAGGGACCTACTGGTTGCTCGATGAATCGCATAGATAAGACCGATGGAAAGCAACGTTCCTAGGAACTTCATACACTTGAACAGTTCTTTGGTTACGGCAGTGAGACCAGGGAATGGACAGCCAATGCTACCGTCCAATGATTTGACCTGGAAGTTAAAAATTGCAATGATGGGAGGGATAATTGGCACCAGATGAAACGTTTTCTCCGGAGACTTAATCATTACCAGTTCTACTACTTGATGAAAATAAAAGATGATTTTTAGATACCCAGAATCTTGTTCTATATCTTCTTCGCATGTTCTCTGCTGATCACTCCGGACAGGTTTATTCATAAACCAGAGACTATGCTTTAGCAGCTTCGAGAAAATGGGAGGCTTGAATACAATGTAAACTGCAAAGACAACCACGTAAATCCCAGTCGCCAACCAAAACCAGTTATTATTACATTTATCGTTCTTTCTACACGACGTTGAATAGAGTGCCTCACTGTACCCATCAGAACACTTGCCACAAAGCACACCGTCCCTTCTTCCATGACAGCTGTTGTAGCTGTTGTTATCAGAGTGGGTGGAATGGCTTGATCTGCCGCAGTATTCAGAAGGACAGTGAAAAAATTTCAGATTTGGTGGACTCGAAGAATTGTTTTCCAAGCCCCAGAAGTTCTCTTCGGCTTTTATGATTCCGTTTTTACACGACGCTCCATATGGACATTTGAGACATTTATTTTCTTTAGTGTTATTTAAACCAGATATAAATCCTCTCTGTAGACTATAAAATCCAGAAGGACACTCTTCGCAAAACATTTTGACGTACATAACTTCAATCCGACAGGTCTCGCCTCCTCTAGTAAACGTAAAACGCTTGGTAATTTGGTTGATATCCATTTTAAGCCACCTGGCAGATGGACATTTAATGGTAGAAGTTGCGTCTACTTTCAGTAAACTGCTCTTAGTGACAGCTAAGATCGGGTGGAACTTCTTGTTAACATTTGCTGAAAATGACGAGTTTCTAATAATGACCGGTCCAACGCTCTCAGAATACAAAAAGCATCCATCATTTGAAATTCGCCATGGCTCCACATTTGAATGTGGCTTTAAACGTGACTGAAGAAAGTTGCTGTTGATGATGTTAAGACTACCGTAACCTAGTTTCATATAAATATGTCCAGCCAGAGTTGATCCCGCGTTGTCTTTGAAAGTGCAATTTTTGAAAGTGGCGTTTACATTGAACAAATTCAATGCTCCTGTGATAGCAACGTTATTTTCGAATATGCTGCTTTCAAATATCACCGGAAACTGAGTTTTGTTATGCCACAAAAATTTACTTTTGTGAGGTCCATTGAGGCATTCTGGAGGGTCCTCCTCTTTAAATCTGATATTTACTGTGGGTTTTTCATCCAGGTGATAAACAAAGTAGGAATTGTTTAGAAACTTGCAGTTTGTAACTTTAATGAGGCCCGTTACATTCTTTTGCATTTCTACATAGAGAACGCTATTATGGAATTCTTGAAAGGTGACGTTTTCGAGAGTAACTTTGCATTTGAGATCACTTGGTCTGCGCATAGAGAAAAATGCATCCACTAATAGCCTAATTGCGTCACCGAACTGTCGAGTCTCGCTTCCTCCGACGAAAAGACTGTCTTTAACAGATAATATTTTGCTGCTAGGTGGGCATAAACTCATATCAGAAGGGCAAAACCAAGTTGTCATTCTTATTCCAATTCTGTTATTTGAGAGAGTGCAGTTGTCCAGGAACAGCTTGAAATCAGGAACCGTGTCGTTTATTTTAGTAGGCCCAGCTCCAAATAAAGCATAACCATACGTAGAATTAAATGTCACATGGCGTAGCTGTACGTGAAATCCGCCTGCCACTGACATGGCATTCTCATTGCGAAGAAAGGTGCTGTTAAATACTGACAAGTTTCCACTGTCATAGATGCCATAAGACCGAAATAATAATGCAAAGCTATTGTCCTCATGACCAAGGTCTTGAAAAAGACAGTCAGTAATTACGCCGACAGTTTTTACCATGTTTGCCGGATATCCCTCGTATCTAATCAAGACGGCTGCCAATAGGTTTTTCTCACCAGAAACTCCATTAAAACGTCCTTTCGTGCCCTGAAAGACACACCTCGAGATCCTTAAGGTGAACCACCCATTAAACAAGATGGCGTAGACGGACTTATTATTGTGCAAGAATTCGCTGTCGGTAACGACGATGGAAGATTTTGTAAAGATTCTCGATTTTTTTTGTAATACACCAACTGCGATAGAGCTTTTAATAAACTTGCAGCTTGATATCGATACACTGAAACGGGTCACATTGACTAGATCGACTCCATAGCTGTGGAATACAAGGTTGGAGAGAGTTAATTTAAAGAGGCGATTCTCAGGATNTACACCAACTGCGATAGAGCTTTTAATAAACTTGCAGCTTGATATCGATACACTGAAACGGGTCACATTGACTAGATCGACTCCATAGCTGTGGAATACAAGGTTGGAGAGAGTTAATTTAAAGAGGCGATTCTCAGGATATGTAAATTTAAGATTGCCATAGCGTGGATCACATGTAATGTGCGCCCTTGTGGACAAACCGTATATTGCCACACTTTTGTAAATGAAAACATTCTTTCTGAAAAAACAGCTGTAAGGATGTCTTTCACTGTTCCTTCCATCCAGACAGATCTTTCCTCCATCCCTCACCAACAGCAGTGCTAGTGGCAAAGTTCGGCACGGCTCTGTCCGAGAACCGCATAGAGGTGTGTCTTGGCCAATTTGATGCGAAACATAAAGACAATCAATTGGCGTTGCATCACCGCCTATGGAACACAAGTGAAGATATTAGTGAACAAATTTTACCTGCCTATAAGCTGTACGGATCAGAAATGAAAACAGTTGTCAAAGGCTTACTACACTGTGAAAGATCGGCTACCGGATGAATATTAGCTGCCTTTTGGGGACCCAGCAATTATCTTTGCTTATCAGTTAATAACTGGTAATGCGACGAGTTGTAGTGGACTAATGTAACTAAAACTATAACGTAGGTACGGTAAGTATTTTCACTCATCTATGACTAACTTCTCGAGTGATCAACCAAGTCGTAAAAATTTAATGTTTTATGATATTCCAAAACAATGGATGAAATAGATCAACAATCTACTTAAGAGAGGATGGAAATGAAACCTCTAACTTACTGATTTTGTTTATAGCGAGTACCAACAGTAAAGAGAGTAGTTTAAAGAGCCACCAGTAGCAGCGCAGATGAGAATTCATGTCGACGAACATAAGATTACTACGATGCGCAATGCTGCGCTGGATAATTTGTAGTAGCTCTTATTTCAGAGCAAGGGACGCTTAAAGTATTTAATATTTGGCCACAATACTGAGCATCACGTCATTGTTGTTATTTCTGGAACCACTGTATATCGCTTCTAGTGTTAAAAGTACTTTGACCGAGATTTTGAATCGTACATATAGTTTAGAGAGCAAAACATTCTTCACATGGAAACAGTTCTGTCACTAGTTTTCCAACTTCATAACGAACTAAAAGAAGGAGTGCACAATTGTGAAATAAAAATGTAACTTTGTAGGAGTGACGTGTCCAGAGATCATTCAATAATAAACACAGTGTTTGCACGGTTAAATATTAGCTCATTTCAAAATGATTAAAATAATTGCTATATTAGTCCCATACCCTATATTTTTCCGAGCACGCGCTTGCATAGGACCAATTAACATATAAAATACCTAGACATCACATATTGCCAAACTAGATTGCTTTTGATGGCAGGATATTGTCCTTAATAACGCGGCTGTTTGATGCGGAGGATAAGATGAGCCCAGTGCTTCACCCATAGGGGTGCTACCTATAATGACATATACGCGGAAGTTCCGCCTGAAAGGGACACCTTTTTCAGACACCAGGTAAATGAAATGGTAGGGGTTTCACAATTTAAAGAATTTGAAAGGGTGGCTTAAGTTAACCGTTACTAAATGTTCTTATTACGTAACAGTCTCTGTAACATTTCCTAATTCACTCGTCAACATTCCAAGAACACGTGACAGTCTAATGCAAGGCTGGGTACAAACAGGGGGCATTCTTCTTGCCCCCACTCCTCCCCCCCCCCAAAAAAAATGATTGTCTTCGTCATAAACTGGTACGAAGTAAGGTCCATGTTGTTTTTGTTTTGTGTGAGCTTGGATTGAAAACTGAATACTAAAAATACGATATATTTGTGGTCAAAAGAGCTCGCTTAAATCAATAATCTTGATTTTCAATCGTAGTCTTGCCGTTTAAGACTGATCGTGTTACATAATGAAATAATGATGACTGGGTGACCTGTTATCACAATACAGTGTCTGTATTGAACAAGGACATTGTGCAAAATTTGATGTCGGGGTTACCATGGCAACAAGTCAAACATTGCAAAACAGACTCTTCAGTGAGCTCCAGAATTGTATTGGCTTTTATATCATATTCTTCCTAATTTTTACATGTTCTACCCTAAACGGTTAATAATTAATTTTTCGAATGGAAATGCGATTAGCTGTTAATTTTAGTGCATACCAGGAACGGTTCTTAAAGCTGTGTGCAGTCCGCCAGTCAGGTAGACATGAAATGTACTGCCTCTGTTATGATAGCCATCCCAGGGTCTCCCCTTCATCTTGAAAAACACGTATGCATGTTTTTAATTTGTCTTGATAATACCTAGTAGTAGAAGTAACATGAGACTAACAAACAACCACGTCAATTAATTGTGAAGTATTTATAAGTGAAAGATCATTTCATTTCCTGGAGTTGAGGGCAAACCGGTTCCCTTTGGATCTCGGAGTTATAAATAGTTTATTGCTCTTGTATCAGTTGTTTTTTGTTAAGAGCAAGCAGTTAACGTGAGAACTCAGCGGAGCAGTTGAGTTAAAACGAATAACACTTCTTTAGAGGGTGTAGCTGACAAATGATATTCCTTACCCGATTACATTTCTTACTTTCAACGCAAAACATGGCAAGTTCTTTTCTCTTAAATGCTTTACAGCTCCCCACGGTAAAAGTAATCAGATTACGTAACTAACCAAATTGAATATCCCTAATCTAGTCGATAAAACTAATCTACCGTTTACATACAGAAATGAACCCCACAAATCTTACATTTTGGCGTTTTCTACGTTTTAAAAAAATCGTGAAATTCAAAGCTTTCATAAATAAAATTCGCGAGAACTTCATATTATCTTATTACACCCATTTTGAAATCACTTTTTATCTTTACAGTATAACTAGATAGCTCTCAGTAGTATGATTTATTCACGAATTTCCTTTTTTGTTGTTCTAAATCGCAACATTTCTGTTCAAAATCGCATCATGTTGCTCTTATATCGCATCGAATTAGTTTTGTTTTGCATAGGATACTTAACAATTATTCCTCGAGCCCGAATGGGCTCTGAGTCAATAGCCCATGAGGCCGAAGGCTGATTTACGTTTTTCTGAGGTCAAAATCTAACCAACATAAAGTTATGATGCAACTACATGTAGCATAAACTGTAAAACTGATAAGTTTATGCAATGACTTGAAAGTCACCACAAAAAGCCAACGAGTCGACGACTCTTCAGACTTTTCCGTACAACATTTCCAGTTAATAACATGTGAAAGGCACGTGATGAAGTGTATTTGTATTTTGTATTTTATTTTTACTCCATCCCATCGATAATACATTAGTTGTACAATACTAATTAGTACAAGGTTGTTTAAACTACGTGTACATAACAAAAAAAAAAGAAAAAATTAGAATGGAGAAGGGCACATTATAGTAAAACTAATTATGGCCCTTTAACAAGATTGACTTTATTCTATTATAGCTTTGTTGTTCATTAAAATACAAACGCGCACGCACGCACGCACGCACGCACACACACATACAAGTCAATATTGGGCAAGATAATATTTTTTAAGTGCCTTTTGGAACAGGATTTTCGATGATTTATTGCGAATAGAAAGGGGGAGATCGTTCTTTTCTTTGACATATTCAAATAAAAGACACCAACATGAACTCTTATACGAAAAAATAAATTATTTAAGACAGCAAATAAAACTAAACTAGCCAGCTTCAAAAGACGCGGCCATCATTATCGCTGACCGCTGACCGCTTTCAGCTTTCGTGATGAAGTGGTACAACAGGCGGGCGACTTGAGAAAGTCAAATTATTCATGATAGAGCGGTTTTCACTTGACTGTCGAAAGTAATTGAGGAATTGGTTTGGTTTTGGTTTTACTACGCCCTTTGGTTGGCTAGTGTATTTACTTTGGTTTTGGTTTTACGACAGTCAAGTGAAAACCGCTCTAACGATACAATGTTTTCAGTGGATGACTGATATAGGAGAGTAGTTTGTGCTTCTCTGGTAAGAAGCCACTTTTTTAACACGTCCCGCATCATCTTATTGACTTGGCGTAATTTGAACGTTAAAAAATGTTCTTATTATAAACGAGTCTTGTTGACGTTTTATGATTCACTTCCTTTTGAGGCAAATAGATAACATTCCATGAACACGTGACAGTCTCATCACACAAGGCTGGGCACAAGCAGAGGACAATATACTCACCCCATCACGAAAAATATCGAGTTTTTGGTGGTAAACTCAGAGTTATAATTGTTTTGGTTTTGTTTGCTGATCTCGTCACTCTAGAACTGAATTACACTTAGGATACTTCAATATATATATTTGCAGACAAATAACAAGCCCACAAATCATTTAAAAAAAATATTCGTATTTTATGGCGAACGCTTCGCGACTTCTGATCACAATACAGTGTCTGTATTGACGAAGGGCAATTTGCAAGATTTTATTACGGGGTTACTCTGGCAACAGCGAACCTGTGGCACAGTTTAAGGTTAGTTCGCAGAGTTTGGTGCCTGAGTGGAATATGAGTCTTTGGTAAATACATTCCTTGACACCAACTTTTGTTTCACCTTGAAGGATGGTTACCTTCACAGAACGCTACGGGCAATAACCCGCTTCAGCGTTAACAGGAAGTATTTATCACAACAGAAAGTTGGTTGGCGAAAAGGCCGAATTGAATGTAAACTACATTTGAAGATGTTTAGGAATGTTACACTAGAATAATTTCCCAAATGTTTAATCAAATAAGTAAAAAATTCATTAAGAGTACACTGGAAATTGAAGAATGATTCTCGGTAAAACCAATTAGCAATGGTGGCGCACAAGCAGCGTTAATTTAGCTAGCTTTATTTTCACATAATAGCTTATATCACAATGCCCGATCCAGACCTTGAGATAAGGGGGGGGAGGGGTCATCCAGACCCTTAGACAAGGGGGGTCGGTCTCCCAAAAAACTTTTTTGGCCCTCCTTCGGGCCTCATTTTGGTCTAAGAATAAGGGGGGGGGGGGCGCCCCCCGGGTGCCTCCCATAGATCCGCCACTATATCATGATATTCGGTTCACTGTTGTTGAAATTGATCGCGGTTTGGTGGTGCATGGGGTAGGCCAAGTCAGCATGCAAATACGCGGTACTAGCAAGGCCCGGAAAGCTTAGGACTTAGCTAAAGGTTAAAGTACTGATTCATAGGAACAGCTGCAGAATGTTTAAGCACGACCCTTGAAAGTTTTATTTTGCAAGTATGGAGCAGCCCAGATGAACTTTTTACAAAAATGATAATAAAACGCTGTGGCTTTCTTCTTTATTCAACGAGGGTTACATTTGGTCAATTCTCATGGCCCTCGACATTAAACTACAACTAAAAAATTTAAAAAAATCACAAAAACCACAGACAAAGTACTACTATAGAATTAAAATAAAGTTGACTTCGTGCAATAGGAATTAAAATTACACTGCGTGAAAAACTAAACTAATTAATATTTATCAGAAATACAGTGTTTTATCAACTGAATGGTTGACTAGGCATTTTATTACTATATAGTTTTGCCTGACTACACGATGGTGTAGCACTCTTCAGATAAAATGGCCTGTCATCTGAAGAGTGCTACACCACCGCGTTGTCGGGCAAAACTATACAGTAATTTAATGCCTAGTCAAACCTTCAGTTGATAAAACATTGTACTTCTGGTATTCTCGCTCTAGTCCCTCTATTGAACACTCTGACAGCAGTTCTGCATCAGCTGAAATCAAGTATTAATCAATATTTATATTTGTGCAAAAATACGTTTGTAGAAGAGAGTCTTAAAATATATTGAATGAGTTCTTTTTACCGATTTTACAGGAACACTGTTCCACAATCTTCAAAGGCACTTGTCACCTCAAAGATTCTTCCACCTTCAGTCTTCCTTCTGAATTTAGGACACACGCCTTGAACTCTCACGACTAAGACTTAAAAAAAATGTAACTGAACTATTTGAAAAATCCCCCTTCATTTAATATACAGGGAAAAATGACTAGCCTGATAATTTGTAAATAGGTTGGCGAAGGTTACCTTAAAAATTGCCTTAAGCAAAAAGATTTCTTACTCGCGACACCTGCAGATAATTCTTTCAGAATTTCTATTTTTCCCAGTCTCTGTAGAACATAATTAGTTAGTCAACTGATACGTACTACTTAAATCATGTCACTCAGCTTATTTACTTAGACTGATATTATGTGTATCACTTTTTGCACTTTGTACTATTTTTTTCTCCTTTTGAGTGTGATGTGATAAGTTCTTGAAAAAAAATAGGTTGGCGAAGAACTCTGTGAATGGAATTTAACTGATTGTCCCTTTTTTTGTGCTGAGTTTCATTTTTCTAAAGTAAAGATCTAATCAACATAAAGTTAAATAGCAGCTTAGTGCACATAGCTGGACGCTGCCATCAAAATGGACTCCATCTCTCCTATCAGTTAGTTACTTAGCATGCGCGCGCAACTGTAGCATAAACTGTAAAACTGTAGCATGTGAGTCTAGGCAATGACTAGAAAGTCTTCCGAGTCCCAATCCACCACAAGTGGTCGAGGTATCAACGACTCTTGAATAAAACATTTCCGGGTAATGACACGTGAAAGGTACGTGATGCAATGGTACAACAGGCGGGCGACTTGAGAAAATGCACAAAAAACTACAAGAAGGCACAGCGCCAATGGTGCCAAGCTGAGGAGGCCAATCTCAATCCACTGTAAAGCATAGAAGAGGTCTTTGCTTGGGCCGGAGGGATCTATTCCCTGGGAAATAAGAGTAGCTTCGGTCAAACTGAACATGCAAATAACAACTAGGCTCAACAGAGAAAAGCCTTCACAAATGTTAGCTTTGCGTTCACGAAAAGGCCTCATTGTAAGGTGATGGACCAGAATAATAACACATACGCAGCTAAGGCAGACAAAGCGTATAGTGGGATCAGTAGCAAATGTATGGATCACCAACAAGATCAATCTTCGTCCAGTCAGTACACTTTCCCAGTATAGGGTACCATGATCTTCGCTGGAGCCTGCGCGAAATGGACCGTGGAGAACCTGCTTTATTTCTTCCGCATTGTGCACTTTTTCAGCGTCAAGCATTTGTTGATCATCTTTTTTTCTATATTTACGAAAAAACAAAATGAGAAGACAAGGCAAAGGGAATGCGCAAGCTATTAAAAATTCCTTGGCTGTCACTTTGTCTTTACTTAGTTTCAGTGATCCCCAGAAGAGAACCAGGACGAGGGGGATGATAAAAGACATTATGAACGCGATCAGCAGGAACTGCCACCACTGCCAACACACAATGTGAGCATCAACGAAAAGACGCCAATCTTTTTCAACAGGAACACAGTGCATAAGGTTAAGGGATGTATCAGCAAGTCTTTCATAACCAAGCAACAGTGTTTCTAAAGCAACAGCCAGGTATAGTTTCATTGATGGTGGAGCTGTGTGCAGGGAGCTACTGGTGGCTCGATGAATCGCATAGATAAGACCGATGGAAAGCAACGTTCCTAGGAACTTCATACACTTGAACAGTTCCTTGGTTACGGCAGTGAGACCAGGGAATGGACAGCCAATGCTACCGTCCAATGATTTGACCTGGAAGTTAAAAATTGCAATGATGGGAGGGATAATTGGCACCAGATGAAACGTTTTCTCCGGAGACTTAATCATTACCAGTTCTACTACTTGATGAAAATAAAAGATGATTTTTAGATACCCAGAATCCTGTTCTTTATCTTCTTCACATGTTCTCTGCTGATCACTCCGGACGGGTTTATTCATAAACCAGAGACTGTGCTCTAGCAGCTTCGAGAAAATGGGAGGCTTGAATACAATGTAAACTGCAAAGACAACCACGTAAATCCCAGTCGCCAACCAAAACCAGTTATTATTACATTTCTCGTTCTTTCTACACGAAGTTGAATAGAGTGCCTCACTGTACCCATCAGAACACTTGCCACAAAGAACACCTTCCCTTCTTCCATGACAGCTGTTGTAGCTGTGATTATCAGAGTGGGTGGAATGGCTTGATCTGCCGCAGTATTCAGAAGGACAGTGAAAAAATTTCAGATTCGGTGGACTCGAAAACTTGTTTTCCAAGCCCCAGAAGTTCTCTTCGGCTTTTATGATTCCGTTTTTACACGACGCTCCATATGGACATTTGAGACATTTATTTTCTTTAGTGTTATTTAAACCAGATATAAATCCTCTCTGTAGACTATAAGATCCAGAAGAACACTCTTCGCAGAAGAGTTTGACATAATTGACTTTCATCAAACACTTTTCGCTTACTTTCGTAAACTTGAAAACCTCGGTATTTTTGTTGATATCCATTTTGAGCCACTTGCCAGACGGACACTTAATCATAGAGGTAGCATCTACTCGTATCAAACTGCTCTTAGTGACAGCTAAGATCGGGGAGAACTTCTTATTCATATTTGCTGTAAATGACGAGTTTCTAATGATGAGCGGACCAACACTATCAGAATACAAAAAGCATCCATCATAAGAAAATTTCCGCTCTGCATTGAAATGTTGATTCAAACGTGACTGTAGGAAGTTGCTGTTAATGATGTTAAGTCTACCGTAACCGATCTTCATTTTAATATGCCCACCCAGAGTTAAACCTTCGTTGTCCTTGAAAGTGCAATTTTTGAAAGTGATATTTCCATTGAAGAAACTCAGTGCTCCTGAGATGGCAACGTTGTTCTCGAATATGCTGTTTTCAAACACCACCGGAAACTGAGGTTTGTTATTCCACAAATTTTTGGCGTTGTGGTTCGTTTTGAGGCATTTCGGAGGGTCCTCCTCATCAAAAACCATCTCAACAGTGTGTTGTTCTACCAAGCGATAAACAAAATTAGAATTATTCAGAAACTTGCAGTTCTTGACGTATATCAGGCCCGTTAGATTCTTTCGCATTTGTATATAGAGTACGCTGTTATGAAATTCCCGAAAAGTAACGTTTTCGAGTTTTACTATGCCTTTGATAAAATTAGGTCTTTGTAAAGAGGGTGAGTGTGTTTCCACTTTTACTCTGATCGCGTCACCGAACGCTTGAGCATCGTTTCCTCCGACGAAATGACTGTTATTCACCACTAATATTTTGCTATCTGGTGGGCAGATGCTGAAGTTCAGGCAATTAGTAAGTGCCATTCTTATTCCAATTCTATTGTTTAATAGAAGGCAATGGTCCAAGGATAACGATACATCAGGAGCCCTGGCATTTATTTTTGGAGGACCACCGCCCATTAAAGCATAACCATAAGTAGAATTAATTGTCACATGGCGTAGCTGTACGTGAAATCCGCCTACCACAAACATGGCATTCTCATTGCGTAGGAAGATACTATTAGATACTAATAAACGTCCAGTGTCATAGATGCCATAAGACCGAAATGATAATGCAAAGCTATTGTCCTCGTGACCAAGGTCTCGAAAAAGACAGTCAGTAACTAAGCCGTCTGTGAATACCGCGGTGTTCGTCCGGTATCCTTGGTACTTAATGTATACCGCTGCTTCTGTGTGTTTTTCACCAGAAGCTCCATTAAAACGCCCTTTCCTGCCTTGAAAGACACACCTCGAGATTCTTAAAGTGAACAACCCTTGATACAACCTGGCGTAGACGGACACTTTATTGTGCAAGAACTCGCTGTCAGTAACGACGATGGAAGATTTTGTTCGGATTCTCGACTCTTTCTGTACTATAGCAACTGCGACATTGGAGCTGTTTATAAACCTGCAGCTTGATATTGATACGTTGAAAAAGCTCACATCAATTAGATCGACTCCATAGCTGTGGAATACAAGGTTGGAGAGAGTTAATTCAAAGAGGCGATTCTCAGGATATCTAAAAATAAGATTGCCATACTGTGGATCACATGTAATGTGCGCCTTTGTGATCAAACCGAATATTGCCACACTTTTGCCAAGGTTTTTCCAAACACTTCCTCTGAAAAAACAGCTGTAAGGATGTATCTCACTGTTCCTTCCGTCCAGACAGATCTTTCCTCCATCCCTCACCAACAGCAATGCCTGTGGCAACGTTTGGCACGGTTCGGTCCGAGAACCGCATTGAAGTGTGTCTTGCCCAATTTGGTGCGAAACATAAAGACAATCAATTGGCGGTGCATCACCGCCTATGGAATACAAGTAAAGATATTAGTGAACAAATTGTGCCTGCCTATAAGCTGTACGGATCAGAAATGAAAACAGTCGTCAAAGGCTTACTACACTGTGAAAGATCGTCTGCCGGATAAATATTAGCTGCCTTTTGGGGACTCAGCAATTATCTTTGCTTATCAGTTAATAATTGGTAACGCGACGAGTTGTAGTGGACTAGTGTAACTAAAACTGTAACGTAGGTACGGTAAGTATTTTCATTAATTTACGACTAACTCCTCAAGTGATCAACCAAGTCGTAAAAATTTATGTTTTATGATATTCCAAAACAATGGATGAAATAGATCAACAATCTACTTAAGAGAGGATGGAAATGAAACCTCTAACTTACTGATTTTGTTTATAGCGAGTACCAACAGTAAAGAGAGTAGTTGAAGGAACAACCAGTAGTAGCGCAGGCGAGAATTCATGTCGACGAACATAAAATTACTACGATGCGCAATGCTGCGCTGGAAAATTTGTAGTAACTCTTATTTCAGAGCAAGGGACGCTTAAGTTATTTAATATTTGGCCACAGCACTAAACATTACGTCATTGTTGTTATTTCTGGAACCACTGTATATCGCTTCTAGTTTTAAAAGTACTTTGACCGAGATTTTGAAACGTAAACATATTTTAGAGAGCAAAACATTCTTCATGTGAAAACAGTTCTGTCACTAGTTTTCCAACTTCATAACGAACTAAATGGAGTGCAGACTTATGAAATAAAAATGTGATTTTGTAGGAGTGACGTGTCCAGAGATCATTCATTAATCATTCACACAGAATGAGTAAAATAATTTCTATATTAGCTCCATACCCTATATTTTTCAGTGCACGCGTTGCTTATTTAGTACCCGCAGATACAATATCTAGAAATCATAGCCAAACGTAGATTGTTTTTGATGGCACGATATTGTCCTCAATAAAGCGGTTGGTTAATGCAGAATATGAGCTGGGCTCTCTCCCATAGGGCTGACTACCTACAATGACATGTACGCGGAAGTTCCGCACGAAAGCTGTACCTTTTTCAGGCGCCAGATACATGAAATGGTAGGGGTTCCTCAATTTGAAGAATTTGGAAGGGTGGTTTAAGTTAACCCTTAATAAATGTTCTTATTACATAAAAGTCTCTGTGACGTTTTTTAATTCACTCGTGAACATTCCAAGAACACGTGACGTCTGATACAACGCTGGGTACAAACAGGGGGCATTCTTCTCACCTCCAACCCCCCCCCCCCCCCCCCCCCCCCCTGGGGTTCCTCAAGTTGTAGAATTTGGGAGGGGTGTTTAAGTTTACCCTTTACTAAAGTTTTTAATACAAAAAAATCTTGTTGACCTTTTTTTATTTCCCCCTGAAACATCCCAGAACCCTGGGCCTCTGGTACAACCGGGGGGACCAACAAGGGGGCGTTCCGCCCCCCCCCACCCCCCGCCCCCCCCCCCCCCCCACAAAAAAGGTCTTGTCTTTGTCATAAACCCGTACGAAGGAAGGTCTATGTTTTTTTTGTTTTGTGCGAACTCGGCTTCAAAACTGAATACTAAAAATACATGATATATTTGTTGTCAATGACAAGCTCGCATAAATCGATAATGTTGACTTTCAACCGTAGTCTTGCAGTTTAAAACTAATATTTGGCCACAGCGCTAAGCATCACGTCATTGCTGTTATTTCTGGAACCACACTGCATATCGCTTCTGGTGTTAAAAGTACTTTGACCGCGATTTTGAAACGTAAACATATTTTAGAGAGCAAAATATTCTTCATGTGAAAACAGTTCCGTCCGTAGTTTTCCAAAGTCATAACGAACTAAATGGAGTGCAGACTTATGAAATAAAAGTGTAATTTTGCAGGAGTGGCGTGTCCAGAAATCATTCATTAATAAACACGCTGTTTGCATGGTTAAATATTAGCTTATTTCAAATGAGTAAAATAATTCCTATATTAGTTCCATACCGTATATTTTTCAGTGCACGCGTTGCTTTTTTAGTACCCGCAGATACGATATTTAGACATCATAGCCAAACCAGATTGTTTTTGATAGCACGATATTGTCCTCAATAAGGCGGTTTGTTGATGCGGAAGATGAGCTGGTCCCTCTCCCATAGGGCTGACTACACGCGGAAGTTCCGCACGAAAGGGGTACCTTTTTCAGACGCCACGTATATGAAAGGGTAGGGGGTTCACAATTTGAAGAATTTGAAAGGGTGGCTTAAGTTAACCCTTATTAAATGTTCTTATTACATAACAGTCTTTCTGACGTTTTTTAATTTACTCGTCAACATTCCAAGAACACTTGACAGTCTGAAACAAGGCTAGGTACAAACAGGGGGCATTCTTCTCACTTCCACCCCCCCCCCGTCAAAAATAGGTCTTGTCTTGGTCATAAACTCGTACGAAGGAAGGTCTATGTTGTTTTCGTTTTGTGCGAACTCGGCTTGAAAACTGAATACTAAAAATACATGATATATTTGTGGTCAATAACAAGCTCGCATAAATAAACAATCTTGACTTTCAACCGTAGTCTTGCTGTTTAAAACTAAGACTGATCGTGTTACGTAATGAAAGAATCGTATTATATTATGACTGGGTGACCTGTTATAACAATACAGCGTCTGTATTGAACAAGGACATTGTGCAAAATTTGATGTCGGGTTTACCATGGCAACAAGTCAAACATTGCAAAACAGACTATTCAGTGAGCTCCAGAATTGTATTGGCTTTTATATCATATTCTTCCTAATGTTTACATGTTCTACTCTAAACGGTTAATAATTAATTTTTCGAAAGGAAATGCGATTAGCTGTTATGTTTAGTGCATACCAGGAATGGTTGTCAAAGCTGTTTGCAGTCCGGTTCAGGACTCATGTAACAATTGGTTTCATTACAAGCAAGGGCCGGGATTAACGCGCGAAAGCAACGAAACAGTTGAGTTAAAACGAAAGACATTTCTTTAGAGGATGTAGCTGACAAATGATAGTCCTTGCCGATTACCTTTCAACTCACAACATGGCTATATAGTTCCTTTCTCTTCTTGCAGTGCTTTACAGCTCACTACGGAAATAGTAGTCATATTACGTAACTAACCAAATTGAATATCCCTAATCTAGTCGATAAAACCAATCTATCGTTTATAATACAGAAATGGACTACATAAATCTTACATTTTGGCATTTTTTGACGATATATTGCGAAATTTAAAGCTTTCGGAAATAAAATGCGCGAGAATTTTATCGCGAAATTTAATATTTTATTACACCCTTTTTGAAATTACTTTTTATCTTTGCAAACTGACTGGCTCTTAGTAGTATGATTTACACTATTTACGAATTTTAGTTTTTTTGTTCTAAATCGCAACATTTCTGTTCAAATTCGCATTATGTTGCTCTGATATCGCATTATTTTTGTTTTGCCTAGAAAATAAGATATATATAAAGGTATATAGAGGTGTTTCCATTTCCGCTTTTTTAACAAACCGGCTGCTGGATAAATAAAATATTGGATTTGGCAACTTAGTTGATAAAGTGCATTGCCTATTAATTGAGGATTGAAAAGCTGACTTTTGGAGCGCTTCGTCAGAGCCAATCGCTTTTTCATTGTCCCTCGCTCTCATCCAGTCATGTCGCCCCATGGAAAGGAATCCAAGATAGAAAAGATAGTATTTGGATTCCAGATTCCACTCCATGGATTCCGGATTCCAGGTACTTGATTCCAGTCTTTGTCATTATAACTTAGATTCTGGATTTCAATCGTTAGTGGGATTCCGGATTCCTTGAGCTGCATTCCGGATTCCAAAGCTCAGGATTCTTGATTTTCCCGGATTCCGGAATCTGGATTCCTTTACAAGGGGCGAAGTCATAACATGCGGTAACTGAAAACCACAGGGAGGCCTAAAGTGATTGGGTGTGTTATACTAATAATAATACTAATAACACTAATAATAATAATAATAATAATAATAATAATAATAATAATAATGATCTTTAAAAAGACATGTACATAATTCACAGAAATATTTGAAGTTAGAATTAAGTACAATATAACATTAAGAATTATATAAATCATAAGAATAGCAATCACTGTGTCAATAACGATTTCGAAAATACATTCCTTGCGGCTCAGATGCAGTCAATGACTCTTACAGGCAGTCCAGAGTTTTAAATTAAGTAATTATAAAAGAGATCCGTCTCTGATATTAAAAAGAAAACAAGTTAAAAATAATAAAATTCCGTATTCCCAAATTCCTAATTCTTTAATAATAATAATAATAACAATAATAATAATAATAATAATAATAATAGCGAATATTTTAACAGGATAAAATGCCATCAGTGTATAAAAACACTGTTGTCAATGGGGTCCTGTAATGAACAGACAAATAAATAAATAAACAAATAAAAACTTAAAAAAAGATAAAAATAGGATACGATAGAATGCTGTTTCCATAAGATCAAGTGCTAAAAGATTGTAACTATGGAGCGTTTTCACATGACGTCACGGCGGCCATATTAGTGTTCCAAAACAATGAAACGGCGGCCATGTTGGTGTACCAAGAAAATCCTTTGGAAGTTGAACTCTTTTCTTATGTAAACGCTTTCTTTTGTGCCAATAAATTTGCATAGATGCTTGCTACGTGAGTGAAAACGCTCTATACTGTGGTTAAAACGATGAACGTTTCATAGACTAAATAAAGTTTGCTTTAAGTGCTTTTTTAAAAAGAATTCTCTAAGTTAAAGATCGATCCAATTGGGAGTTCATTTAAAAACTCTTTTCCCAAATTCGAGAAGGACTTCAGGCAATTTTACTAAAAACCATTGTTTCTTGCAGTCTTTGAATGATCCAGTCTTTCAAAATACGACTTAAAGGGGAAGCAAACATTATCTTGAAGACAGCCAAAGACCAGTTGATTGCTTTTGCACTTAACTGCGTTTTCTACTGAAGTTTCAGACTGTTGCCAATGGTTCTTAGACTTTCAATGTTCTTTATCAGAGATACTAACACTTTCCGGTTTAAGAACTTCATTTATTCGAACTTGCCCAGGTCAAGAAACAATTAACTACAATGTGGAATTAACCCATTATCTTCATTTTGTGTTGGTAAGGGTTCCTGCACCTTGTCGAAACCCGTAACCTGTTGGTCCAAAGTTCTTGCCAAGTCTCAGAATTTCAGTTCTTGGAATATAGTAAGGGAGTTTTTCTAGACTGCAAAACAGTCGGTTTTTTTCTCAAAATCAGTAAAGAAATCGGTAAAGCGTGGCGTAAGAGTCTTAGGAGCGCAACGCGTTCGCGTCTCAAGCGTCTCTCCCCAGTTGTGCACTTTTTTGCGCATTACAAGTTCTCTTTATTCATCATTTCTACGTAGAGTATGAGGCACCTTGTTGGCCCCCCTCCCTTCCCCCCCCCCCCCCCCGCCCACGCCCCAGCCACCCGCCCCCACCCCCCCTCCACCCACCTACAGTTCCCCCCCTACCTCGTCTATCCCCGCCAACACGTACTCTCCACTCTCAGCCGCCCCCTCTCCCCTCCCCCCGCTGCCCGGCCCATCTTCGATCTTGTCCTGACTAGCCACGCGTTTTGTCTGTTGTATTTCCCCCCCAAAAAAAGGCATAACCATTGTCTTCGATTTCTCTTGGGACGACTTTAATACATTACATCCAATTGCAAAACGACGCAAAACAAACACCTTGACTCTTTTCTACCCCTCTGAGCTCTAGCTCAGTTGGGGTCAATTTAATGAATGTAATTTACAAGTCTAGCCATTGTTTTATAGTCTAAAAACAGTAGCTACACTTATAAAAAGTTTTATAAAATTGACTCCAGGTTTGCTTGTTTTCCCATTCCAGGCCACGAGAAATGACGTTTCACTGCATGGAAAGCTTGGTGTAAAATCACCCAAATATTATTCAAATATCATGAAAAGACTTAAAAAGAGTACTATTGAGAACGTCACAAGCGGAAATGAAGCAAGTCATTAATGTTTGAGTCTATGGTCGAAATACTATGGCCAGGGGCAGCCGTTCAAGGATCTTCAAATCAAACCTCTTCAGTAATATTTTTGCATAGTATGATCCGTTACTAACTATGGGAGTATTTAGTTATTTATGATGTGTTAACTTTTGAGTCTGTAAACGAAATCCTATGGTATGACCATTCAAATAAAACCTCTTCAGCAATAGTTTCACGTGGTACTATTTATTATGAAGTTCCAACTGTTGAGTCTGTGGATAAAATCCTATGATGTGACCATTCACATGAAACCTCGTGGGCAGCTTTCACCTGGTACCATCTGTTTTTTAGCACTTTACAAAATAAAATCTGCTCGCTATCTTGACTCTATTTTCAAATTGAAAGGCGCTATTGGGAGTAAATAACAGCCTGGCTACCCACTGACAACCTTTGCTTTAATATTGTTTTCATACATGGAGAATAACTTTATCACTTTTTATTTTCCCTTTTTAATTTCCATTACAAATTATTGAAATACGTACATAAATTTAAATCGCACAAAAAACTCTAACTTGTATTAAAATGAACGCTGACAACAATGAGATGAGGTTAATTTAGGAAAAAAAAAAAGAGCAAGAGCAGCAATTATTCAAGTTGTAAATAAAGCGATACATGGGAACGAGTAACGGATAAACAGAACTCTTTAGTTCGTGAGTTTGTTTTCAATGAAGGTCACGTGATATAATATTCAAGAGGAATGTTTCTCTTCAAATTCTGGGACCTTCATTGAGCGAAAAACAAAACATACGAGCTAATATAAGGAGATCTATTACTTTCATTTACGGGTCGCTTACCTTAGCTATCTTTTGCCGAAATAAAAGGCAAGTTTATTCCTCTTGAATGTTCGAACGGCAATATTGCTGTCATTCTTAAAACTAACAAAGCCATTGACGCCAACAGATGTTCGCTTCAATTCGCCTTCAATAATCATATCCTTAGCAGAATCAAAAAATATAACTAGAATGATTACGTGAATAAACGCCAGTTGCTTATGATTACGGATTAAATTGGAAGGCCAGATTTAATTCTTAAAAAGTGTGGGTTTATGCCTGATTGCGTGATATTGTGATCGCGTGAATTGACGCAGTTTGCGGGCAGAGTTGAATGAGACCATCTTTTGCATTTTAAAAAAGGTTAATTACGTTAAAAGGCTGTTGTTGTAAGTTATTCCCATAGTTCTAACTCGGCTAGAGCCTGAATATACATCTTTCCATTTTGGTAACACGGGCTGCCTTTAGAATCCTTTTTATTCGACCATGATAACTCATTGTCAATAAAGCTCTTTAAACAGGCTGGCAAAACAGCAGTAAATCCCGCCCAAGAAACTTCTAAAATATAAAACACCGAGTTCAAAAGATCGATCTCAACGAACGATCTTCCGCCAGGAAACAAGTGTTCTCCGGCCACGAATCGCACGCCTCGAACGGGCAACACAAAGGTTATAACAAGAAAGGTCGCTAAAGTAACGACGTTTATGTTTTTCAGACCGCATTTCGGTTGGTAATCGCCGCCGCTGTTGCTCAACAATCGTGTTTCTTCTAAATGTTTCGCTACTGCACGAAGAACAGCAGTTAGTAGAATTATTGCTGGAACCACAAATTGTAACATGATTACCATATAACCATAAAGCCACACGTCGAAATTAGCCTCCCAGCTAACCCCTGGAGAAGGACAGTAACATCCGTTGCATTTTAACACTGGCATTTTATGGTACAAATTTCTTAGAGCTGGAGATAACAATAGCCCAGATGACAGCACAATTCCCGCAAATGCCAGCGCGATTTTGAACGCCGGGAATGTCCACCGTCGTTCTGTTTTTAGGTAACGCACGACAACAAATGCCGTGAGGTTAAACACTGATAACGATGTAAAACACGCCGTGATATTTGGTAGTATATCGCAAATTGTGTGGTCCTCAACACGTGTAAGATCAGTTACAGGGTTAAGCTCATCTCGAAGCAGCAAGACCAGATGAACAAACAAATTTCCAATGTTAACAATCGTTTGAAAGACGATGAAGTACTTTAAGTTATTAAGGGACCGCCATCTTGAACATTGATAACAATAGAGCATAACATAGAGGTTGAAGAACGCCCCACAACAAAGTATTAACGGTGACACGATCATATTTCGCTAGCTTAGATTCTCCTCGTGAAGCTTGTAATATTTTTACTCTTTGGGCTCCTTGGAGCCTCGAGTATTGAAGATAAATGTCATGTGATGCCTGCAAGCATGCAACGTTCATTACATGTCCAAATTATATGCGCGGTCGCTCAATCGTGTCCAAAATTAACATATGGAACGTCACGTATCATGTTAACGGAAACGCGGCACTCGAAAATTTTGCATTTTTCCGGGTGTGACGAAAGCTATTAAGGTCCTTGAAAACTCGGTATGGAGGGGAATACTGGACAAAATGTTATCGGATCGTATCGTAAGGTGCATTATATCGACTTGTATGCTGTTGTTTCGTACTCGGTAACTTGATATCGTAACCTGAATGATGTTGTATCGTACCCGGTAAACTTATATCGTAACCTGAATGTTGTTGTATCGTACCCGGTAACCATAGATGGTATCCAGGAAATATATCGCTGTAAAAATGTCGAGAAAAATGTTCTGGTTTTCGAATTATCTCGTATCTAAAAGACAGCGCATTTACAGCAGTTGAAAGGAATGTAAAGTTCTAAACTAGGTTTGTGAAAAGGGAATCATTTGTCAATAAAAAAAAAAAACATTAATATGAAAGTGGTACATTTTCTGTCAAAAATGGGGTTAGTATCTCATGTAAGGCTCCATAATATGTCCCGAATATTTCTTAGTTTGCAAAGCACCATAAGCAAGTAAAAAAAACCTTAATCAAGTAAGGCACCTCACACAAGAAAACCTAAGCACCCCCTCAAACAAGTGAAACATCCGAAGCAAGCAAAGCACCTTAAGCAATGAAAGCAACGCAAGAACGTAAAGCATCAGAACCACGTAAAGCACCTCAGGAAAGTAAAGTACCTTAAACATATATTAAAAGCACCCTATGATAGCAAGCTCAATATATATATATATCTAGCCGGATTTATGAAAACCGTACCATCGGACTCCTGGAGCGCACACACCTTAAACTGACTCAACTAAAGCAAATATCGCCATGAAACTCAGCTCTTACCCATGGTTCTCTTAAGGTGACTCTCTTCTTGGTTCCTGATTAGCAAAAGAAACATTCAAGTCCATCAAAAAAACACTCTGGCCTTGGCCATACACTTTAGCTGCTTAAAGGCCCTAAGTGATGGGGGATGCTTGAGACTTAACCAAATTCTAAGCAGAGAATTCAAGGTTAAATCACCCCCCTGACTTCCTCCACCCCCCCAGCCTAGCACGTGCTTGAGGGGAATGCTTTCATTGGCCAATGGGCCTCAAACATTACAAGAATTTGACATGACAAACTAAAGGCAGACATGACCAGGTTCCTGTGCGAATAATCTGGCCCTTTTTCAGGTATGTTTTCAAAAATTCGGCTAGATATATAAACGGTCAATGGAAAGCCACTGACCATATTTTCACCTTGTGCGACTTGAAAGATAGTTACGACATCGTCAGGTACGACATACCAGCATCCCGGCTATAATATACAGTCGCGGTGTACGACATAACAATTTCCTGGATACCCTGGTTACAGGGTACGAAACAACATCATTCAGATTACGATATAAGTTTACCGGGTACGATACAACAACATTCAGGTTACGATATAAGTTTACCGGGTACGATACAAGATCATTCAGGTTACGATATCAGGTTCCCACGGTACGAAACAACAGCGTACAAGTTACGATCTATGGCTACTAGGTGATACATCAGCATTGGAGTACGATACAATACTATTCTGGTTACGATATTAGGTTACCGAGTACGATATAACAGTGCTCTGGTTACAATACAACATCACCAAGTACGACATAACAGCATACCGGGGACCATAAGATAGTATACAGACAAATTCGATATATTAAATGATCTAATAACATTTTTGTCCAGTATTCCCCTCCATAACTCGGACTCCACGCCATCGTAAAGGCGCCAAAACTCAGATAAAAATAATTAACAAGGTTAACAGTCTGTTCAATTCGCGTGTCGTTCATCGATAATTGTAAAACAAGCTTCTCGACAAATTGTTGTTAACAGGGTTAAAATAGTCCTCATTTCCGGGCTAAAGAAGGTCCAAACAATATAATCTGGGCAGGGACACCGACTGCGGACAGTCTCGATATGTGGTACAATAGCCTGCGAAAACAGCCTTTTCTCCTTGCCGCTGGGAAAGCGAAGAGCGAGGAGAAGGCGGCTGTTTTCACAGGCTACACATATGCGGGGTCTACTTTTAATTGCGAAGTGAGGAGGATACGAGAGGGTCTTTATGTCCTTAAAAGGTTAGCTCAGCCCAAGGTATACAACTTAAAAGGTTCCCCCAGACTTGAATCCTGGTTACAGAGGTTCTCTAAATTTTTTCCCTTGAAAAGAACTTCATGCGTTGTTCTGACCCAGTTGTAACTTTACCAAGCAACCAAACCAAAGCGACAAGATTGTAAAGTAGGAACAATAACATGGAATTTTAGGGTCGAAGTCAAACATCAACCGACCGCCAAAAAGCGTCGTTTCCTTCTCCAACCTTTGTCTGTTTTGTCCAAGATTGAAGATCCATTATTTTGCCTTTTTTCTTTAAATAAATCGTTTTTTTCATCATGTGATTGGTGATAAAGTAAGAAAAACCCCATATTAACTTTAGCCTAATTTTCTCCCATGTTAAATGATAAAAATTGCTAGCGATGACAAATATTCGTAGGTATTTATTTCAAGTAAAAAACAAATTGTTAAGAGAATTTTATTTGGTGTTTGGAATTTATTTCGGATATTAAACTTGAAATGAGATATATCTTATGTGTGTCATTGGGAAATAATTTGACGCTTTTCTTGCAATGGTTAACTCTCACAGAATAATGCTGATGAAGCCCTATCCTCTCCTGACGTGAGAAAATAGTTGGTTTCCAGTTCAATTCCCTTGTCACTTCTTTAAAGAAACTGGTTGTTAAGAGAGTTGTGTTCGTTAAATAGCCACTTCCGCGATTGCCGCAAAAGTACAATTTAACGACCAAGTTGGTTTAGTAACTCTGATCAGTAGCTTTGATTTTTCTCGTTCTTTAATTTCATGATCTTTATGTTTTAATCTGGTTACTTGAACTTGTGATTACATAGATACCTTGTTCTGACATGAATTCGGTGTAAAGCGGATGTTCCATTTTGGTGCATCTCCGCTGTCACATTTCTTTATTGAAACTATTTTTAATTAGAGTTTTTGATACATGACAAAGCCTGGATTGAGTTGCGCACTTTGTTCAGCTTATCATTTTTTGACCTCAATTTGGCCCTTCGTCCATGTTTTTCATACAATGACTACCTTACTCATATTTAACAATTTTTGGCGCGTTTTCTTGACTTTTCTTACCGGATTTCATAGCAGTGGATAACTTTAATTAGACTTAAGTGATTTTATAGGTGTTTTTGTAGGTAAAGAACTATTGTTCTAAATTCTGCCTTGCACTGTGAACTGCATTTTTAATTTGTCCTCTGAGTTTGGCGGTGATGTCCGTAGTTAATTTATGGAAAAGTTTTAGCCAACCATTATCGACAAAGAAACCCCATTTGTAAATCGACAGCAACGTTAGATTTTCAAACTGTAAATTTAGTATTTTCCTTTCTGTTATTATAAAAAAATTGTATACAAGCAGGTACTTTGTAATTTTTATAATAGTCACCTCGTTTTATATTGACTGGTCAACCCAAGCTTCATAGTGAAATTCGGGTTAAAACTCGAAGGTTCAAAGCAAATGAGTCTTCTTTAACCAATCACAGAAGACTTACGTAAGCATTAATTTGAGTTAGGAAGATGGTGTTGCTACTCGAGTAAAATCAAGGTGTGACAATGATATTTAGAGAGTGCTTTCCCGATACTACAATGTGAAGTTGTATGAGCCTAGTTGGAGATTAAAGCAAGCCCGCCTTTACTATTTAGCGCTCCCAACCTAAACCGCCATGCTACGCGGACTAGCGAAGAACCGGCTAGTTCCCCATAAAAAGTTCTTCTCATACCCAGAAGGAAACGGTCGCATTACAACCCTCTTCAAACTGTGCTACTACTTTTATCGACTTTTTTACAGTACAAATCGGCTTGAATCACTTTTTATCATTACCAGTTAATTAATTACTTTTCTTACCCAAATTATCACCACAGTTACGCACTTTTCCGGGGTGTTATTTTAATTATCGTTACGTTCAGTTGTAAAAGGGACCTTTAGGTAATGTAATACTGATTTAGGCAAAGCCATATTGGCTCTTAACAAATGGTTAAGGAACGGTGTCATTACAATAACACTAATATAAATAGTTGTAATTATATAATGTACAATATATATTCACTCTGCATTCATTGGCTGAGAGTGATTTTGGCGCTTTTAGATTGATTTCAGTAACACGCTGTGATTCACGTACTCTGTGAACCATGTACTCTGTCTCCGGGCTGGTGGGGATACTGCGGAGTAGAGGATAGCTATGGACAGGAGCACAGGAATCACCATTTTTTTACAACTCCGACTTTTGTGGTTTCTTTGGAAAACCATTGTTACGAATAATCTCTTTATATACCTCTGCAGACCGCTTGGGAGTGCGGGGTCGATTAGGATCGTCAAAATCTACGTGGTGAATGCCAAATCGAATGTGAAATCCTTCCATCCATTCAAAATTATCGAGAAAAGACCAGTAGAAATAGCCCTTCAGTCGCACCCCATCCAAGCGGATTGCCTTTAATGCTTCGTTGGTGTAAGAAGTCAAGAAATCCACGCGTAGCGTGTCATTCAAGGCGGCTTCACCAGTCAGTTGGTCTTCTCCATCGATGCAAAAACCATTTTCCGTGACAATGATCTCAGGGTCATTATAATGATCCTTTACCCATTTTAGCAGCTTGCGTAGGGCCCATGGAGTGCTGTACATCCATACAGTGGCACCTACAGAGGAAAACGTTGTCCTTATGTAGAGCCAAGTGACCACGATAAAACCAAATATATTTTTCACGCAAGCTGTGAAATAATGTATGCATCGAGCTTCCCCCCGTCCCCTTCTTACACATACATACACAAAAACAGTAATACATATTTTCCCACGCCCTTTCCCACTCCATGAGTGAGCTTGTTATACTGCATGAGGTTCTATTGTAAGCCATGATCCTTTGTATAAACGACTTGAAGAAGTCAATTAGAAGGTGCATGAACTATCACTTTTGAATCACAATAGTTAACTGAGAGGCAGAGCCTACAGTAAAGTATCAGGCCAAGTTTCGACAAGAGAAAGCGATGCTTCCTTGTTACATTTAAGGTTACAGTTTCGAAACTTAAAGTTTCGAACCTGAAAACAATTTGCCAGTATCTTCAGTTAACTACATGTACATATGTAAGCTTAATTGAAATAACGGGAAAAAGAAGCCCTCGTTGCAGTTATAAGCAGTTTTACAATGGAAAGATGACCAAAGGGTATTTTGAATTGCGTATTTTGTCGTTGAAATTGCTTTTTACACAAAACAATGCTAGGCCATTTATCGAATTATTCAAGCCTCGTTTTCAGGGCGAGTCCTGGTACTTATCCTTTCATATGAGAATAAGTTTCCTTACACACACAAATTATACTTATTTTCTTTCAACGGTGGTGCCACATGCCTCGCTTAACTGACACAACTGCTATCATTTGTTCAGGCTGAAACCTGAACCAAGCCATTTCTTCGTGTAATTGCGCTGCACACGTACCATTCCACTAACTGAGCTATAAAGCCGACTAGGGTATGGTTATTGTGTGCTTGCATTCACACTTCTCGCAGACAGCAGTCAGATGAATATGACTGGAAATCAGGTTCTTTTGGCGAACGCGTGACAGACTTCATTGAGTGGGGTTCAAACCATTATTGACTGAAGAGATCTTGAGACACGTATCTGCATCCCCTCAGATTTCGCAGGGGCGAATGACATTATCAACAACTTACCAAAGGGGAGAGGGTCTGGGACGATAGATATAGTTTGAACGCACTCCCTTACACTGGAAACGGGAAGCAGGCAAGAAGAGCCCATCTTGCCCCTCTCAGGTAGCCAATCACACCACATGATTGACTCATCTTGCCCGCTCGCGGATCCAGTCATATAATAATACCAGTTACATATTGAAAGGGACTTAATCGTTTGTGCGTGTTGGAGTGCGAAGCTTATTAACAGTCTGAATGGAAAGAAATGAAATGGATCAATGAGAAATGAAATGTACCTCTTTGCCAAGATGGATCAGCAGTGGTTTTCATTCTCTGATCAGTCATGTAGTTCCAGTCCACATCAGGTGGGTATTCCTGGTTTTCGATAAGGAAAGCACTATAGGCGTTCAGAGCGAAGAAATCTGCTGTCCCTTTGATAAGCAGCTTCTCTGCCTCGGTAAACTCGGGAAGTCTGACATAACAAACATTTGAACGGGCGATTAAAACCGAAGCAGGTGACGTGGAGAAGAGTAAAAGCTTATGTTACAGACCATGTGGTTTATTAGCTGCTTCAAATACAAAGTGTTCAAACCTCGTCCATGGCAGCGAAGCTGGGAGGTATACTGGGGTGCCCGCGAACCCCTCCAACCTTTTACTTTGTGAAAGGTATCCCTTCTTTTTTTCGCAAAAACGCCAGAAAATTGATCAACTAAAGTCCAAGCTAAAATTATAAAATTCACTCACTTTGAAGCACGATACCTCTCTCGGTAAACCAAGGTATGAGAGCACTTGGTTTAAAATTTCCTTGTATATCAACGTACGTATTTTCGTCAGAAGCTCTTGTATAAGCTAAAGTGTGGTTTATACCGATAACGCATTCGGTCCCTCTCGCCGTTTGACTTATCTATATATACATTTTGTAGGCTCCTTCCTCCTCCCATGATTTTGGGAAAGAAAAGCCACTTTTACGAACTGACACAGCATGAATGTCGCCGGGGGGGGGGGGGGGGGGGTTTATCCCCCTACAAAAATGATGTAGGTGCTGTTCGTCCCTGTGAGGGTTATTATTTTGTGGTTTGTTTTTTATATGTGAGTGGTTTTTGATGCAATACCCCTTTTCGCCCTCCCCTTTGTTTTCATTATCTTCTTTTTTTTTTTTTCGGCCCCCTCCGCCCCCCGGGGTTTGGGAAAGAAGGGCCACTTTTTCAGGTAGCGGGGGTGAAGGGAGCGGGGGGGGGGGGGGGGGAGGGGGTTTACTCCCCTAGAAAAATGATGGAAGTGCTCGTCGTACCTGTAAGGGGTATTAATTTGTGGATTGGTACCGCTTAGGGTGCTAAAACCTAAAATGACGGCTGCCAGAGTTGTCTCGGTAAGATTTATGACAAAACTTTCAAAAGTCATTGAGAGGAAAGTGTTCGAAAGTTATCTTTATTACTATTAAAATTTGCAGTGCCAGTTATATAATTTGTTGCTGTTGAATTGGTACCTCTTAGGGGTGGAAATGAATTTGGGACACGCCCATAAAACAAGATTCTAGTACCTTTTAGGGGTGCTCTCGAAATTTTCCGACGAGCACCACCGTCACTTTTACAGGGGAGTACCCCCGGAGGAATATCGACATGACAATCTGGTAACCACTGCACCCCCACTGGAAAAATTCTAGCTACGCCCAGGATATCTTACCTGTTTGGAATTCCCTTAGCTTCACTGTTCTTCTTGACCGTCGTCTTCATGATGTCAGGCCAGTCTCCATTTACGTAGACAGGATGAGCAAACCATCCGAGCCACCACTCAAGACTCCGTTCAGCAGCGTCTATGTCAGCTTGCGTGTTCGTCTTGGGTTCCCCCCAGTGCACGTTTAGAATTATTGACACTTTCCCATGCTGCGTGGGACGGAATTCATTATCGTAGGTGTGCCATGCTTTGGCATGAGCAAGAAGCATGACATAAGAAACTAGCAAGAAAATAGATGAATAAATAAACCATATCAAATCATTTTACAGCGTTTATCACCCAATTAGCAGGGCTAGGCTAGGGCGTTTAGGGCTAGGGCTAGGGAATTTTCTCTGATAAAGGACTGGCCCTCGAACACGCGAAACGCCACGACCTCGTCCGTAGGGCTTAAGCGTACAGCCCTGTGGGCGAGCCTTTTCAAGCGCAGTGAAGGTTTAAATTCACTTTACAAAATCAGTTGATAAAACCAAATCTTTGTTTTCTCGCAAACAAACTCTGCATTTGGGAGATATCATGTTAAGTCACGCGCGAGTGGCACGCGAAAGGCGACGCGCGCGCTCTCTCGTGGCTCCCTCGCTTCTGTGTCGAAGCGTGCGTGACCCACCGGCATTTTCGTGCTGAGCACGAATGTATCTCTTCCTTTGTCTCTTCCTGTATTTACATTTTTTTAAAATCTGTTTTTCTCGTCGGTCAGAGATTTGAAATAACTTGGAACTGTTTACATGTGAAAAAAAAATATAAGCAATCGGTTGTAGTTACCTTTGTAAACGGTTGAGCGAAGTTCTTTCTTTCCTGGGGGAGTCATTCCGAAGCCATGTGCTAACAGTGCCGCCTCCCAAGGCTCGTTTATTGTTATCCACCACTTGACTCGGTCCCCGAATGTTTCAAAACAAAATCTAGCGTAATCATTGAAAATATCGGCCAAATCTGCGTTCAACCAGCCATCATACTTGTCTTGTAACACTTGAGGTAGATCAAAGTGATACAAGGCCACCATGGGGGTGATGTTGTTCTCTAACAGCGAGTCGATCAATTTGTTATAGTATTCAACACCGGCATGGTTTACTTGATCAACAGTTCCTTTGGGCAACACTCTGGGCCACGATATCGAGAACCTGTAATAGCCTACACCGAGATTTTTCAACAGCTTTACGTCTTCGTCGGTTTTGTGGTACGAATTGCAGGCTATGTCTCCTGTTTGGTTCTTAAAAGTATTCCCACCAGCTTGCGTGAATTTATCCCAAATACTAGGACCTTTGCCGTCTGCATTCCACCCGCCTTCGATTTGGTAGGCCGAAGTCGACGTTCCCCACATGAAATCTTCGGGAAATTCACCATAGAAGAACTCGTTTGGATCCTCCGCCATAGCTCCCACACTTAATGATAGGAAGAGGAAAGAAACTATTAACGACAATTCGGGCATATCGACAGATCGCGTGACTTTGACGTAAATACTGCGGGCTCCGAACGATGAATTTCAAATGCGTGAATCAATTAGCAACAATAAAAGTTGGTTTTGTTTCTTTGTCTTTCAACAGTTATTGTCCACCCGCCGCCTGCTGGAATCAAGACAAGATCACGGAGGATATGCTGATCTTAGAGTAGCCTAAGGGTACGAAAGAACTAAAAACTCATAACAAATCCAGGAGCCCATGATAAATCAATATCCTCAATTGTGAAAAAAATGAGGCCAGCTAAGTATCGTTTGATTCATGGGCCTCCTCCGCTCCCCTTCCGCTACGGAACAACTCAAGCTGTAGCCTGCGTACTCAAGCTGAGATCTTGTGAACTTTTAATATCATTCAACACCAGTCTCCTTGCGTGATAACACAAAGAACAGCTGTGTTTAGCATACTGTCAATGTTCTCAAAGAAACTATTCCTTATAACCTTTCTAAAATTCACATGCATTCGTAAATTCGTTGTTTTGATGGCAAAGTTGTTAACATGGGGAAAGAGACAAATTTCCTGAGCGTGAAACATAGGCCGCCAGTTTCGTGACAAATTCGCGGCACGAAGGAAAAAACCAGCGTATATGATGATGTGATCACGAATATCACTTGTTTGTTGGTAGGATATTAGATAAAGACAAAGCGAAATTCTTTCTCCAGAGCGGATTTCCGCAAAATATTTGGTCTTCTAGATTGCCCGTTAAACTTGGTAAACCACATAATTTGCTTCTATTTTAATTCTGTCTAAGGTTTTGAGGCAATAGTTCGGTTTTTCATCTCCACATTTTTTCACGTGTTTGAGCCACCGCGCCAGAGAGGGGTACTCCCCTATAAAACTGACAGGGGTGCTCGTCGTACCTACGTAGTTTCTGTGCCCCTCGACAGTTTACGATTGACGTCAATGGTGATTCAACAGTAACCATCCAAATTTGGTAGCTGATTAGCTGGGAATTTATTAAAGCCAATCAGAAAGGGAGAAATATGAATAATAATATTAATTATTAATAAATATTTACGTTTTCCCGCCAAAGCACGAAATCTTCCCCATTCCTTTGTTATTTTCTGTCCTTTGTTCTCCGCTGGCTTAGAGGATCGAATGTTGTGGGTCAAGATCTTCAAATTTTCATTTTTAGTGGAACTGTTTGTAGCATTCACCGAAGTAGATGCCAAAATGTCGGTAATAATTCCGTAATTTTTGGGTGGATTGCATTTCGTTCTGTGTCCTAGCGTCTTTTAAAACAGTTGAACAATCCGAAGAAATGAATTAATCATTGCGTGATATTTAGAACAAACTTTTAACAGGCACCCAACAGCAGGCCTTCTGACCTATTTTTTTCCTTAAATCTTTAGTTTCCTTTAGCTGAAGGGGACGATAGCTTCGTTCGAGGAACTTTTCCAGATGATTTTATTTGGGGCGCAGCAACAGCAGCTTTTCAGATCGAAGGCGCTTGGGACGAAGATGGGAAAGGACCAAGCATATGGGACACTTTTTGCCACATCGGAGGGAAAATTCACAACAATGACACTGGAGATGTCGCATGCGATAGTTACCACAAAATCGACGAGGATATAGCCCTTTTGAAAAACCTCGGAGTAGGTTATTACCGATTTTCCATCTCCTGGTCCAGGGTTTTACCCCTGGGAACAACAGATAAAGTTAATCCCTTGGGAGTCGAATATTACAACAACCTAATTAATGCAATGTTAAGCAATGGGATCAAGCCGGCTGTTACACTCTATCACTTTGACCTGCCTCAGGCTTTGCAAGACAAGGGTGGTTGGCGTAATCCCAACATGCCTGACATTTTCAATGATTATGCAAGATTTTGTTTTAAAGAGTTTGGAGATAGAGTAGGAATATGGATCACTATTAATGAGCCACATGAGGAAGCACTAGATGCATATGGGCTTGGTGCTTTTGCTCCAGGTATAAAGGAGATGGACGCAGGACCATACCAGGGTAAGCTTTATAGAGGCAGTCACTGGCAGGATAAATTTCTACAAGTGACATGCCTCCCCCCCCTTCCCCCCATAAGGGAACTCCCATATTAGGCAAGACAGATATGTGCCACTGAACAGGGTTTATGCTTTTCAGGGTCTTAATTCTTAAACAGGGTGTGCAATTACACTATTTGGCATCTTTAACAGGGTGTGATTTTGGCCCAGAAGCCTTTAAAAAAATTTTAAGGCTGCAAATGAGCACTCTGCATTAATTTTGTGTGGCACCAACAATTTTTTCCAAAAATTTAGTCCCATGATGTTAGTCTGAAAATTTACCTCATTACTGTATGCAAAATGGAATGAATAATCCACAGGGTAGTGATATCAGCAATTTTTGTCTTAAACAGGGTCAGGTTTTGAAGGCTTCTGCGGCCAGCTCTACCTAAACTTCCTTTGAGTGCAGCCTCTGGGGATGGCCCCTTAAAACCATGATGTCACCAAAATTTTGACAAATACCCAATGCAGATTATTCTGACCGAAAAGTGCTGACATTCTTCTACTGCAAGTTGAAAATATTTGAAGTATAAAACAGGGACATATGTATACTTCATTGCTTGCCCCTTTAACAGAACTGTTACACCAGAAAAAGTTTAAGCAATCTAAATATACAACTTTTTATGGATATTGTAATAACATTTTAAGGTGAAATGTAACAAGCTTTCAAAACAAGCTGATTACAACAGATACTTTATTTCACCCAAAGAAAAAATTTGGATTTCTTCCCTCATGTAACCAGAGAAGCATAGAGACATACAGATGGGCCAAATTATGACCCAAGGGATATAGGGTTATGAAATGTGGAACTTGTATAAACAGGAATAAAGTTTCTGTTCACAAGCAGATGGGCTTTTAAGTTGGGGTGCGCATTACTGGGTGTTTTAGGGTAATTTCTCAATTCCTTGCTTTGTTAGTGGTAAAATATTAATCAAAACCCCTGCTACTGTCTTTGATTTGATACAGCTGGCCACAATATGCTACTTGCTCATGCAAAAGCCTGGCATACCTATGATAAAGAATTCCGAAGTGCCCAACAGGGCACAGTAAGCCTTGTCGTCAATGCGCAGTGGTATGAACCAAAGACAAACAAGGAAGAAGACATTAAAGCTGCGGATCGTGGTATGCAGTGGTTTCTGGGCTGGATGGCACATCCCGTGTTTATTGGAGATTATCCTGAGGTGATGAAAACACGGATCTTAAAGAAGAGCAAGGCAAAAGGGATTCCTTCTAGGTTAGTTCATGGAGGAAAACATCCCCCAAGGTGCTTTGAATTCAAAAAACCCAAATTTCATGATCAAGAAACAGCTTTTATTTACTTTGACCCCCAGATGGTAAAAAACAGCATTTTTAACTGACAAGTTAAGAATAATTATGGTTTGTTTAAACTGTTCAAACCCCCAGCTGTACTTGTCTCTCAACAGAAAAAAAAAGATAATGGTAGCTGTGATCCCAAGGGGTGGGGAGGCTCCACCCCAAGTTCAAACCCCTCACTCTTTTATATGTCATTTTAGACAGGAAAGGTACCCTTTTGATATACCTTCCATTGAAAAAATGGTACCCCTTTAATTTCACATACCTTAACTTAATAAGAAATAAGTTGAAATACCTGAAGCCCAAAAAGGGTTCCAGGGCCATTATAGCGAGTGCAAGCTGCTGCCATGTCTCTGCCAAGCCAAGTGAAGCTGTTGAAATGGTTCTTACCTATAGCCTGATAAATTAACTTGAAATTTTTTGAAGTATTAATCTGAAAAATAGACTTTTATTGTTGGCAATGTTTGTTTTATTAATCTCCTTAGGCTTCCAGCATTCACAGAAGAACAAAAGAGGTCATTAAAGGGAACTTCTGACTTTTTGGCCCTCAATTTCTACTCTGTTTCATATGCTGAGCATCATGACCTGTCTAAGGATGAAAATGTTACCTGGGGCTACTTTACAGATCAAGAAATGAAGGCTTCTAGAGATCCCTCCTGGCTCAAAGGTCAGTGCACCTTTTCATTACCTACCAGCCAGTGTCAGGGGCCACTGGGCTCTACTAGAGCACAGCGGCCTGCCTTGTATAATGAGAGTGGAAACATCACTGACTTCAATAAAGTGAAAAACTATCCCAAGTTGACAAGAGTTCTTTTAAACTCTCCCTTGCAAATGATTAATAATTTGTTGAGTGTATAATGTGTAGCACACTTTCATTAGCAGTAAAAGATATGATTTGATTTAGTGTGCTTGTTTATAACAAAATGACAATAGTGCCTAATGAGCCAGGACCACCCTTCATTAGTGACAGATCTTCCTAATAAGTTTCATTTTAAATTGACTCATTAGGTGATCCGTCTTGGTTGTACTGTGTTCCCTGGGGCATGCGCAAGATGCTGGTCTGGCTTAAAGAGCAGTATAACAATCCCGAAATCATTATCACTGAAAATGGCTTCAGCGTCCATGGAGAACATGATTTAGAGCTTCCTGTTGCTCTTGATGACAAAGACAGGGTCACTTACCTCAGGGGATATATTAATGAGGCTTTGAAGGCTGTAAAACTGGATAGTGTTAAACTAAAAGGATATTTTGTTTGGTCATTGATGGACAACTTTGAATGGGATGATGGCTATAGGTTTAGATTTGGTATTCATCATGTAAACTTTGATGATCCCAAACGCCCACGCACTCCAAAAAGATCTGCACAGGTCTACAAGGAGATTGTGGCAAATAATGGATTTCCTTGAATTGAATACAGTGATATATTTTTTGCATCCAAAGCTTGTAAGCGCGGTAGACGTATTTTACATCAAGTGTGGTAAACTTAAAAAGCCATAAGGTGACTAATGTAACTTAAGCCTATCTTGTTTTAAGCATGACATGGCTCATTTAAACAACCTTTAACATGCAGTCTTTGTTGAGCATCATCCCTTAAGTAGTAAATTCATAACGTTTTCAGAGTTAAGGGTAGCCGGCACAATAGATGAAAAGAAGTAAGGGGGCAGGCACAAGATAAACATAATGATTTCGACAAGGAGGACAGGCATCTTCTTAACATCATATATACTGCTACCGGTATTTGTTTCCCTGATGCATTTGTTAAATAAGCTAGAAGATAAATCAATCGTTTTTCTTTTTAACTGCATATGTTTTGACCTACTCGCTGGAACCAAACTTTTTTTAGCACCCCACCACAGCTGATAGTAAAATATGCCCCTGGCTGAAGACTCCTTTATAGTAAATATAATATTTAGTATTTGTCATTTTGTAACGGTTATGGGACTGAATGAAGTCAGTCATCGTATGAGTGATGCAAGGTGATCTGATTTGTTTAATCCTGAGTATGATTAATATTACAGACACAATCTTGTTCTGCTGCCAAATAATCGTTTTATTTAAAATCTGTTTCTGCCCATGCCTCTTTTAAGAAAATTATTTTGTTATGCTTGAGCTAGTACATTACATGTAACTTGAATTGTATGATCTTCAACTAATCTTTTTGGGAAATACTTTTAAGTGTACTATGACTATAGTAATAATTATTCTTATAGTCACTTACAATAATGTTAATTCCTTTTATACATAAAAAACATAATGAATAATTTTCATCAATTATATGAAACCAGACTGACCTATGCAAAATCTTATCATTTACCCAAAGTTTGGCCTAACTATGGGAAATTAAATAGCCACTTTAACAATGCATAACTCTGGAGTTCTATTAAACAAGATCCACCAATCACTTTTTAAAACTAATGAAGAAATTATGGGGTCTTACCATTCAAATGAAAACCCTCTGGCCGAATTTATTTTTTGAATATTGTGCAAAAAGAAATTTGATTCACTATTTTTGTATTACATTTTTTAATTTGGGTAGTATGGGGAGTGAGGAGGGTAGTTAAAAATCTCTATAAAGAATAATCAACACATGCCCCTACCCAGCCATATGTTGAGGTGTGGGTATTTTCATTAATCTGTCATGCATATTCATATACATGTCTTCTTTGCGACGAGCATCTGCTATATCATTTCATCCCAAATGCTGTGATACTTGTGGTCAGCAAGCTCTTCCTGTTCAGATAACCTTGCAAAGTGAAGCAACAGCTCGAAAGTTCCTCACTGTCAGACTGTGTCCCCCTCCTCCTCCAGCGTTTCTCATAAACCTGTAGAAATCTCCAGGTCTTGCTTGTTTAACCACCTGGTGGTTTTCAATCACAACACTTGCCGGTGTTTCCATGTGTTCTGCGATGCCAAACAATCGCCGATGTTCGGCTACAATGTTCTCACCACTGCCATCTCGTCTGATCAATTTCAAGAATAACTCACCCTTTCGATTTCCCCAGCCTTGGTCGTTCCAAATAACCGACAAACTCAATTTCTTGACAGTACTAGAAAGAGCCGGTCCGTCAAAGTACAATTCAGGCCAGAAATGACCTCCTCGAGGGCCGTCGATCTCAAAGTCTTCTCCTCGCCATTCCTCGTCATACAAAACAACTTGAGGCATTACTGAGTGCATTCTCTTGCATGTTCTACCTAAGTTTACGATGTCTTCAGGGTTGAGAAATGCAGCTATGTGTCTCAGGGCCAAGTCGTCTAATCTTTCCATAGCAATTAAAAAGACAAGTCAATAACTTAATAGGTAAATTTTACCAGAAGTTAAGACAGACCTCACCGACCGACGAAACTGAAAGGTTACAAGCTTTCTCTGTACTGAAGTTGATCAGCTGACCCCAGAAAACAAAGGCTCACTAAAAATGTTAATTTCGTGCGTAAACAATTTTGAAAACACATAAATATTAAAAAAATAGTTTAAAATTTACAAACGCAGCTTAGATCACGACCAAAAGTTCAGGAACCTCGGCTGATGTTGGTTTCACGGCTCCTATCGAAAGGACCGGTTTCCGTGACACTCAAAGAGAGCAGGATGTCACGCAACAAAATAAGCTCCACGTGTGCTACTTCAGTCAAAACGCTTTTATTTAAGAGAACATCGTAGGAACATTTGTATTCAAAATGATTAAAATTAGTTGCCGTGTATTCTGTTGCTTACTCGACTTAATACACGAGCGAGTTTAGCTTGACAAACAAAAAAGTTTCTTGGTAAGGTTATTGTCATTCTACAGTGTGGCGACCACTCGGAAGTTCCACACCTTCAGACTATGCC